AAGTCATTGAGACGTGAGAGGGAGTGTGAGAGCGAGTGAGGTTGACATAGTGTTAGACAGTGAGACAGAGAGTCTATGTCTCTGTGTCTGTGCCTCTCTGTCTATCTCCGCGGCCGAGAAAGAGCCCTTGGTAATGATTTTGCTTGAGAGATATAGAGAGAGAGAGAGAGAGAGAGAGAGAGAGAGAGAGAGAGAGAGAGAGAGAGAGAGAGAGAGAGAGAGAGAGAGAGAGAGAGAGAGAGAGAGAAAAGACTACAAGAGAGAAATTTCTTTTGAAAGAAATGAATTGAGTATTCAAAAAGGGTAACGAGAAAGTCAATGTTATTGAATGAGAAATTTGTCGGCGAGATGTTATTCATATATTTTAGGAAATCATCTTATTTTTTTCTGCAAAAAAATAAAGAGAAAAAGAGACATTATTAAATGCTGGTTTGTTTCCTCGAGATTTCAGTTTTGGCGTGTTGTCCCTCGCCAAGGAAAAAAAAATGTGTATTTATAAAGAGTTAAGGTTTAAGAATGGGTAACTCTCTATCAATTTTTGGACCGATTTAGTCTTTCTTTAGCATAACTATTACTGTATATTAGCGTTTCCTGTTTAACAACATTCTCTTCCACGCCTGAACGTATAAATCATGTTACACATACAAAATTGATCTACATTTAGAAGAAATTAAGATTTGATATATGCATATGTGATGTTCCCTTGTTATTGAAGTTGTTGTCTATTTTTGTACGTGACACATTCTCAGTGGTCGTGTAAGCACTATCACATTTAATATGAGAAGCCTTACGTGTTAAAGCTTAATAAATTAACTCACTCTTATTATATTAACTCTTTATCGATCTAATCATCCCTTTCCTCTCCCGTGAATTATTCAAATTATTACCTTTATAGATCTTTAGAAACTTCTTTTTTCCTTTTTTGGGTGCAAATATCTCTTTTTCTTTCTAAAAGTTAACATTTTCTGTGAGAGGTAAAAAACACATGGTAGATCCACAATACATGTAAAGCATATACATCGATATCGGCAAGTTAGTGAATAATTATAATGGGTATTTTTCGTTGCTAAAACTATAATGGGTAATTTTGCACAAAAAAGAGAGAGAGAGTACCGATTTTCTCTTTTTTTTTAGCAATTTTTTGTTGGTAAAAGCGCGAGCATATAAATGTTTTTTTTTCTAATTAAAACTATGAGACGTAATCAATAACAATGCAATCAATAAAAAATAAATACAGTGAAATATAAATGGTCATAAATGAATATGGTAAAGATACTAAACTTAATCTGTTTGATATCTGATGATCGGCACTCGTAAGACATATCACATATGAATATATTAGGCCACGACTGTGTGGAAGTGGAATTTCTTGGCTTCTACATCTTTAAGAGAGACTTCTGAGTTACAAAAAGAAAGCTTAAATTATTCGTTTTTGACAGAAAATTCGACGGTTAAAGCGATCAACTGATTTCCCGGTCCGTTCGACCCGTAATTAACTGTTGGGAGTTTGGAACACACATGCTAAGCGTTTGCCACGTAACAATATATTGTGGGTCCCATCTCAGTGCCACCTGACCTACCCACACAAAAAGGAAATTGATCTTTTTGTTGTTGCAAAATTGTTAATCACATGTTACAGTTTTGATTTTAAGAATTATCGAACCAGAAATGCAGCAATCATTTTGATTTTGGTTATATATTACTCCGGAAAACATTTAGTATGCACTTATTAGTTAACGGTTTTTGGTTTTATGAGCTGCTTATTCAGTTATTTGCTAGTATAGAGCATGCGTATATAATAGAAGTAATTAAATAAAATGGTTTTGCATTAAAAGCAGTCCATTGAATTGTGTAATTGTGTAGAAGTTCAGTGGGAAAGTAACTGACCCATTTTGAAAATGATGTGTGGAGACTACTACTACTAGTTGATTTGCAACTAACAAAACGAGCCGTGATTTCGGTTAATTATGACGCTGATTTAAATTACTTAATTATCCCAAATGATGATGCGCCATGCATTTTTCTTTTTTTTTTAAATTGTAAATATTCATTAAAATGAAATGTTAGGTGTTACAAATTGAATAAAAAACATGGAAGCAAATTCAATCGGTATTTTTCCGACACCGAAGCTCAAGAACAATAGGAATCAAGTAGCGATAAGGAGCCTGAAAACCCGAAGGAAAGATACGCCATGCATGTGCGTTTCAGTTTTCACGTGGAGTATTAAAAAGTCCCAAGTGATTCGTAAATAATGGTAATTAAGATTGCTTTAAAATCCACGAACATATTGCGTAATTAAGGTAATTTCCATTAAAGTATCTTAAAGACTACTCCATAATGCGGTCAAGTCTCGAGGCAGAAGCAGCACTTTTAATTTGAGCCACGACGTCTTCGGATAAACTGGATATGAGAATGTCATATTCAAGTCAAGCTATATATAACTCGCTCAGCAGATTAGCTGGTTTTACGATAGAAGAAGGTTCCTAGCTCATACTTTCGTTTCGAATTTAAGAAACACATTATGATGTATTGAGCATTTGTGACATTCTTATAACGAGAAACAACTTGTATCTTATTTCGAAAATTCATGAAGCGTAACTAAGCTAGGGACGTAGTTGCATAAAATGTTTGAATAATTACCATAACATCTGCTTCAATTGATTGGAAAATCCTCATCGTTCATGACTCGGTTAGTAGATGTTATGAAGAGCTTTTTGTTTTTGACAAACAAAATAATATCGGTCGTAAAGAGGCAAAGATGTGGATATGGAAAATGTGGTATTAATCATCAATATGATCCACAAATTTTGAGCCAATGGTCACCCATACTTATCTTTGTAATGTATCATGACATTGCTTTAACACGAAAAGTCAAAGCTCTAGAAATCTCTAGTGCAATAGGATTAAACATTTATACTCATGATATCTAAAATAATAGGTGATCTTAGGGTGATTACGAAATCTAAATAGTATTTTTTTAACAAAATCTAAATTATATTTTTAAATCTAGATGGTATTGGTGCCTTGATTCATTTAAAACTATAATTTATTATTTCTTATTTGTCTTTGCATCATCTATCAAGATTGATGATAGCTATTCTATATATTTCAACATAAAAATTATTTATTGAATTATAAAGATAAAACTACACTATTTTTTTGTACAATTCATGCACTTTTATAGAGATGTAAACATCTACTTAAATGATCATTATTCTAATTCATTTAACATCTTTCCATCCATGGATACCGATAATATCACTCTAAAACAGAAGCTAGTTAACTTGATCCATGCAGATGGTGGTATTAAGCACACTGCATATTTAGGCGAACTTCTAGCCAAAGCAACCATATCACTCCGAAACGGAGACACTAGTTGTAGCTGATAGTACTGAGCATACTACATCTTTGGGTGAGCTTTTAGCCATAGTAACTGAGAAAGGAATAGCATTGGTTTTTGTTAAATCGCAAGAATCTCTAGGGAGCGAATTTGGGTACAGGACTGCTACAACCATTGGCGTCAATGGCGGTAGTGAGCACATTCAAGTGGTATGGGACGTGATCAACACGGCTACGACTGCTAGACTAGGTGAAACAGAAGCAGCATTGATCGCCGTTGGTTTTTTCTTTATAAGATCTCTTTCCTATTTGCTTTATTTTAATGAATCAAAAGACTTAATGGTGTCTACGTTGTTTAATTTTGCAATATGCTTTTAGTTTTATAATGTAATAACAATCGTTCCACATTCCATCTCTAAGTTTAGTATGTTATAGAAAGAATTTATATAAACATAAATAATGAACTAGCCCAAGAATGGGGGATTTTAAGCCATTGCCGTTTTTTTTTAATCATGAGTTTCAGCCAAAGAGTTAGTGTAACCGTTAGAAATTATAAACGCTGTGTTATCCTTTCGAAACGTAAAACAAGAAAGAAGAGGTGGTTGAGAGTAAAAGAGAGCACCAAATATAAAAAGAGCAAAACACTAGTTGAATCTATTTTTTCTCCATCGTATCCGAGTTGTGTATTGCTTGGAAAACCCATGAGGACGAGCTAAACTGGGAGCGTAGCTGCACGAGTTTCCTGCAGTGTCTGCAAAAACTTTTTGGAACTCCTTGTCTCTGACTCTGTAAACGCTAACAGATCTACTCTTATCGCCAAATAAAGATGTGAAGAGTGTATCGTTTTTATCAACAAAATAATTTATAGAGAAGTGACTACGATATAACCATGGCCGGATGATATTGACTCGTGGGGAAGGTTGACATACCAGCGAAAAATTTGGTATATCCACAACCATTAGTATAGTCCAAGGCGTGATCAAATGCCTGACCCATATAGATATCTTCTTTGTTTGATGGCATTGCTCTAACACGGAAAGCCGATTTCCCCTGAAGGTCTCAAGTGCAAGAGGATTATACTCATCATACTCAAAAGGAAGGTGATCCAAGAATTGAAACCTTTCTTTGGAAAAATCGAAGCTTTGTATGAAAGCTTTAGAAGAATCTTTTCGAAGACAGATCCAATAATAATTTCCCCGAGAGACTCACTCGACAATGGTACTCTAAGGTGCCAATCAAAACTAATAGTATCGGTTATAACCTTCCACTTATTAGATATGAATTTGTATAACTCAACCCTTGGAGGTCAATCTCTATCAATTACGAGCACATCGAAACCTTACGAGTCTGTAGTCGTGGTTGCTTGGTGATTGGCGGATGTATCCAAGACCGTAGGCATCGTCAAACCAGTGAAAGTCACTGCCGCATTTGACCCATCTTGTCTCTTTCAATGATGGATTCCATATCAAAAGCTGGTTGTCCATGATATACAACAATAGAACAGTGCAGTGAACAATCTTGTACACTTTGATCCTCTTTCGATACTCGTTAGTGACGTTTCTTCTTAAGAGGGAGAGGTCCTCGATTGTTAAATATGGATTGACTATGTTTTCTTGTTGTTTCTCCGCGATGCTGCCAACAGATGATATCTTACTAAGACCATTTTTTTATTAACAGACGATGTTCACCACCATAGGTGTGCATACGAGACGAGTGCTGCTCGAGGAAGGACTCCTCTACAAGCTGCGAGCTCCATTGCTTGCATACTGATCTGAATCTTGCAAGAGATTTTTCTGGAACTCTAGAGAGTATTTCATCTTCCAAGTCGCGTGGAAGGCTCACTGCCATATCGTATGATCTAGTTGTCAAAAGAAAAGAAAGAGAGAGTTGTTATTCATAATCTATTATTGTTCTATAAGGAATTGTGACAGTTTTTTAATCTATATATATTTAGAAACTGTCAAGGGTGGAGAAATGGAAACTCGGACGAGATTTAGCAGGAGTGGGTTGAGAACAAAGAATTTCTTTTATTATAAAATTGTCAAAGTAAAACTTCAATTTACAAAAATTAAAAACGACAATAATGTTTTTTTCAGTGATGAATGACAAAAAAAAAAACATCTTGAATCTGGTGACAGTTTCTATATGTCCACCCTTTCTATACTTACAAAATGCCAACTCATTCTATTAATTTCTTAGGGATATAGTAATCAGTTTTCACCTTGAATCTGGTGAATCTTAAAGCCAAATCTCATGATCAAAAGCCAACATAAAAATTTCGCAACATTCAAATTTTATAAACCAACCTTTTCGAAGTCGATGCCCCGAATCAGATCAGATCCATGGCTTGTCTTGTCTCCTTCCCATCTCCCACTCCTATCGAGTTTTAGTTTTGTTTTCCGTTATTAGGGTTTTAGAGAAGTTTTAATACAAAATAGATGTTCGGCCCAACAAAATGGAAACCGGCCCATCCAAAACTTTTGATTACAACACACTGTTGAACTTTATAATAAACCAGCTAGAACCTTGACCGGTTCTCTCTAATAAATGCACTTGATTGAATTTTCGAGTATCCTGCTAAAAAAAATCTTTTTTGTTTGTTGTTGTTGTAAGGTTAAATAAAGCTTAGATGAACGCGTCTCACATGTGTGATGTGTCATTTGTATCTCGTAAATTTTGACATGCATGTTCAAGTATATAAATAGATCGTAAGAGAGAAAAACAATCTCCCACTAATGTTTCAATTTCTTGGAACACAATCTCTTTTAATATGTAAATGTTAATAAATATTATATCTTATTTCAAGAGAAGATATGACAAGTTCCATATCGTGGAAGATACTCATTCACATGCAGTGCCTGAAACAACGGTCCAAATTTCATCACAACATGAAAAACGCAACGTCCATGAAATCTACATTCCTAAACAAACCAAGAAAAATTTGACGGAGACGAAGAATAAAACGAAGAGAAAAGGTGAAGAAATCCTCAATTATAATTCATTACACGATTCATATGGTCAGAAACATGAAGTGTCCAAATCGACCCGTGCATACAATTCGATTATCAAATGATAACCTAATGCATCTTCATGAAGTGTAGAGATCTTGACCACCTTGAGGAGGCCAACTCACACGGCATTACCTAATTTTCCTTGACGTGGCACTTGAAACACGATGATTCCCTGACAAATGCATAGGAATATGCAACTATATGTGTACTCTAAATCAAAAAGAGGATGTAAGAATAATTTTTAGCATCATTAATAATTAAAATTAATTTGTTAGAATCATTATTTAGTTAGTTTAAATGTAAGTTGTCACTTTATAATCGAGTAGATGATAAAATACATACTCCAGTGTTATCAAAAACTAATGTATGGATATCATTCGAGTTTCTGGTTGATGTTATATGTTTGTTGTGGTTCTAATTTGATTCCTGTAAGAATATTTTATTTTAATGAAGGCCCTTTAACAAAAAAAATAATGTATGAATATCATTAAATAATTCATAATTTGAGTGACTGAGTTATAAATCATTTTTAAATAGAGGTTTGTGGCTTCGAAATCAATCATAATAGAAGAACGTCTATGCATCTCCATCACCAGAGAGCTAAACATTTTTTGGATTTGCTCGGAGGGCAAAATCTTTTGTTTACATTATCAGAATAATCATCTTAAGAAGCAATTTAACAGAATGTAAAATGCATGTGTAAATTATTCACATATAGTTTTTTTTTTGGTAAAATTCATATATAGTTTTATGAACTGATTTATTTTTGCACTTAAAACTTCACAGAGAATAACATTTCAAGATCAGTTTCGAATAATATACCTAAGGACATCTCCCCCAGAGACTTCATTTTTGAAGATCCAAAAACTTCAAATTTGAAGTTTTAGCTGTTTCTCTCCAAAGAGTGACACTTCAAAATAAACTTCAAAAACTTTCTATTTTGCATTATAGTCCTTACTTTTCAGCATAATTGGCTAAACTCATTAAATAATATAAATAACTATAAAATATACATTAAAAAGATTATAGATAATATTAATTAATTAAACATCATTAGTATTATAAAAAACATACAGACATAATCAGAAATAACAAAATAGAATACTAAATTATTCACTGACATTATTTCCGTAATACTTTAATATATGACTAATCAATACATTTCGAAGTGATAAATGTGCTTCTTTAATTTTATCTGTAGACTCTATTGTTGATAGTAATACTCGTGAGTTTATTCGATCTAAACAACCAAAAATCATACAAAAAAAAGAACTCAAGAACAACAACAACTTCCAACTCCAAATATATATAGACAATATTTTGGTGATCTCGAAGGTTCATGATCAAATTTGCCTGATTATTAGTGTTATTGTAGTATTTTAATTTGTGTATTATTTATGTGTGCTTGTAATTTGTGTTTTAGAACTTTATGTTGTATTAATAAATCTGTATAATAATATTATGTTATATTTATGTGTTTTTGTAATTTACTTTTTGTATGTTTTTATGTGATGTTTTAATTTGAAGTTGTTTTTTTAATTTGTATTTAAAAATTACAATTATAAAAATATATATGAAATAATTATCAGACATATTATAAAACTAAAATGATAAATAAACATAACTAAAGTCATTATTTATAAAAATATTTAATTATAAAGACTAAAATGCAAAAGAAAAGATGAATCTTCAAATTTGAAGATCTGAATAATAGAACTTCAAATATAGAGTGTCACTGTTCAGATCTTCAAAATTTGAAGAGTTGAAGTTTCTTTGGGAATGCATAAAACATATGAAGTGTCTTTTGGAGATGCAAAGATACCAGAAAATGTGATCCCCACAGTCACGTGCTTGTAGGGCTCGAAAGCCTAATGGGCCCCATAGCACCGGCTCGAGCAATATGAGCCTATAGGTTTCTGTGTCGCACGTGTGAAGCAAACCAGGGCCCACAACTTCTGGGTACGTTACATACATCATGTATGATTCCCATGTTGACCTGACTGGAGCGGGAGGTGGTGTGTTGGGGACCACCGAATCTGGACCGTTCAAACTTAAACATCGTCGCCAGATCTTACGAACCACAATTACCGGATTACCCAAAAAGGCATCTTTTTATTTCTTTTTAACTCAAAATAAACATACTTATTCTTCTGCAGCTTCACTCATGTTCACGACCGTGCACTCGCGTTTTCATCCGTTGGATTTTTTACCTCGCAGATTCTGATCTCACGGTGAAGAAACCAAGATCAAAGATTTATCCCTTTTCCGCCGAACATCGTCAGATATGAACAAACTTCAAAGTCAAGCTTTTTAAACAGTAAGTAAAGTGAGGTCACAGATTCACTTTCTTTTTTCACTATTTTTTTCAAATTAGTTACCATCAAATCAAAAATACGTAACGATATATATATATATCAAATGTGCTTACACTGTAAAAAAACCCAAAAACAATAAGAAAAGCTTTTATACTGTATAACTTTTGCCTCTGTTTCCTCCTCGTGAAAGAAAAACTCTTTTAGTCTTTTTCGCTCCTCGAGAATTACTCAATTGCTCAACACAAACAAAAACTCAGAAAGAGTGTAAAGTAAATAACAGAGAACAGAGAGAGAGAGAGAGAGAGAGAGAAGAAACAGAGAATGACGGCATCAGGAGGAGGAGGAGAATCGACGGCGGCGGGAGCTGGAGCAACGGGGAGGATGCCGACGTGGAAGGAGAGAGAGAACAACAAGAGGAGAGAGAGAAGAAGAAGAGCCATAGCAGCTAAGATATTCACCGGACTCAGATCTCAGGGCAATTACAAACTCCCTAAGCATTGTGACAACAATGAAGTACTCAAAGCTCTTTGCCTCGAAGCTGGTTGGATCGTCCACGAAGACGGCACCACTTACCGAAAGGTTCCATCTTTCGATCAAATTCGACCAAATTTTTATAATTTATCCAAACACTAAATCGAATTTATCTTTTTCCGACAGGGTTCCCGACCAACAGAAGCATCACCACCGCGCGTGAGCGCGTGTTCGTCAATCCAGCTCAGTCCACAATCATCGGCCTTTCAAAGCCCAATTCCGTCGTACCAAGCGAGCCCAGCTTCGTCGTCTTACCCAAGCCCGACCCGGTTCGACCCGAATCAATCCTCTGCTTACCTCATCCCTTACCTCCAAAACCTCGCTTCCTCGGGAAATCTCGCTCCTCTCCGAATTTCCAATAGTGCCCCTGTCACACCTCCGATTTCATCTCCTAGAAGCTCGAATCCGAGACTCCCGAGATGGCAGATCAGTAATTTTCCGATCTCTGCTCCTTCAAGCCCAACACGGCGTCTCCATCGCTACACATCGATTCCGGAATGCGACGAATCGGATGTCTCGACGGTTGATTCGTGTCGATGGACCAGTTTCCAACCGGTAACCGTTTCTCAGACATGTTCACCGTCGCCAACGTTTAACCTCGTCAAGAATAGCGTTTGCGTTAGCGGCCGCCGCGGCGGAGGAGGAGACGTGTCGGTGAAGCCGTGGGAAGGTGAGAAGATTCACGATGTTGGTATCGATGACTTGGAGCTAACGTTAGGTAACGCTAAAGGACGCGGCTAGGGGTAATATCGTAATTTAACATATATTAGGATGGGATCGGTTCGGGTAACGTGTTTCCGGTTTAACCATAGCTAATAGAAGGATGGTCTAGGTCTTCTTCACGTATTCATGAATTATAACCACTGTACAGTCATTATCAATGCTTCTCATTTCACAAATCTAATTTTCATTTATAATATGTGATGGTGAATATGAAAATGCAAGTGTGTGAGTGAAAAGTGAGAGGGACCATTCCCCATGTGGTGATGGCCTGATGGGGCATGTGAATGTGATTTTTATGATTTTATCTCTCTCTCTAGCTACGCGTGACTTTTCAATGTATCTACCAATTTTTAAATGGACCTGTAATTTGTATTGTTTTTAAGAAATTCATTGAGAAACATTATCCACGAATGAATATATCGTTACGTGACTTTATTTTATTGTTGGAGAATGCTGTTTGCTATAAACATGAGAGGTTGGTTGGTTCATGTGTTCTGAGACTTCTGTCACTATATACACGTTTGACGGGAAAATTATAATTTTTGATTGAGACTGATATTTTTGTAAAGGTATTATTTGGTTTACTTATACAAATTCGGATTCGAAACAGAACGGAGCGGTTTGGATATTCATATTAGCAATTATGACAAAGAAAAACAGGGATAAAACAGTATGTTAGTTTGTTTCATTCAGTGGGCTAAAAACATGTCTTGTAGTAGACTACAATGGGCCGAAACCATATGACCAATAGTCCACGTTTAGTATTTTGTGTTGGTCCAGTTTATATCAAACCCTAGTTCAAAGTTTTGAAACTAGACTAAACGTGTTTATAAATGTTTTATAAAAAATAAACACTTAGACGTCATTCAAATAATAAATCAGAATTTGTAAATAATTTTCAATGTTAAAAAGATATTAGAATAATTAAAACGTTTTAATTATAAAATAGTAAACTGACCAGTCTACGTTGTTTTTTTTTTAATTAACTTTCAATATTCTTTAAATACGAAAATTATATATATTCTTTTTTTTTTGAACAAAAATTATATATATTCTTAAAAAAACATATCTTCAGTCTTACACAATATGTAGGCAACAGTAATTTCAGATAAACCATAAATTACTCCTTGTTGTATAATTCCTATCCCTACGTTTTCGAGAATTGAAGAGCTGAATTTGAAGTCGGACAACACTATACGCAAATTAAAAGCATATCATATTTACGTAAGACATAAATTAACGTGGCTTGAGCTGGATAGAAATACATTTAACTGTGAATAATTATTCGAGATATAGTACGCAACTCCAGAGAAAACAAGACACTTTTATCTTTATTTCATCAGGAATGTATATATCTTTTTCGACCGAACGTGGCTGCTCTTAATTTAGTCGACAGCTCGCTCATAGCATCCGTCATGGTGTCGCTATGTTACTTCGACGCTCAGTAGCATGACAATAAGTTAATAATTCAATCCCAAATACGGCACCGTTCACGCAGCTCAACGTTGATAATTTTGTTTGAATAAATCAAATGCTGAATACTTTTCCATCATAAAAGTCAAATGTTGATAATAACTACCATTTATTATGAGGTCATGAGGATATGTATTGATAATAGCTACCATTTATTATGAGGATGGGGACGTTTTTCGACTGATTTGATAATTGAGATAAAGATCTGTTTGATCCCCAAGAAGCATCATACCGAATATATATACATACGACGGAGTTTAGGCTTCTGAATTATTTTCAAAGTTTGGTTGTTTGAAGTTTAAACGGATTCTCCAACATATTGTGTTGGAAACTTACTATGTTTTTCTGGCAGAAAAAGTTTTTTTCTTATAACATCTTGTTGGCACATGAAGTTCACATGTTTTGGAGTGTACATTATAGGATACAAACAGACTTCAACGAATCATAGGGAAAAAAAAAAGACTTCAAAGCAACTAGTTATAACATATTGAATAAGGTGTTTGATTGAATAGAGTGGAGCTTCCTACACACAATAATGTTTAAGATGAGTTGGCTTTTTGAGACAACTCGGCTTTTATGGATAATAATATAAAGTACGACCAGTCACCTGTAACTTCATGCTCAGTGATAATCCAAAAGGACACCTGTTATTACCAGAAGATTAAAATAAGGATATTGATTAGTATCGCCATATTAATTTATCTTATGATGTAATGAGGTTACAATCATAGATATTGACACGATCAAAAAAGTTTCTCACATATTATAGGGTTTGCAAAGGCCAAATATACGATCTTTCATCTCTTACCAATTAAGAGATGTCAACGCGATGATATATGAATATATTGAGGATTGTCTTTAATGCGGCTAATGCCCTTGACAGTTGACACCATATAAACTTTAATTTGAAGAAGAAAAAACTTGCTATCAATTATGGAAAGGTAACTAAAGAAAAACGAGAGAAAATTTAAGAGTATTCGGGGGATAAACATGGAAAGAAAGAGATAGAATTACCTAGCGATTTCGAACAATTAAAAGGCTCTAATTAAAACAACTTTATTATCTAAACAAAAATTGTTGTTTCTGGTGAACTAAAAAGATTCTGCTAAAGTGAACTGAAGAATATAACGGGTCTTCAGTTAAATGTTGAAGCAACCTCATTTTTTTGTAAGCATTTACGTGTCTTTTTGGTTAGATGCTGAAGCAACCTCATTTTTTGTGTGATCAATATATAGAAGTGATGCAATTAAGTGAGAGCAACAAACTACTGTCTTAAAAGAACCGATAAATCAAAAGCACGTAGGGTAACATGATTTGAGCAAATTGCATCCTTACAGTGACATTATTCAAGCATCTATAACTCATTCCCACAAGCTACGACCATCCTCCTAGATTTTATTATTCTTATTTCGTAATTTGAATTGTATTTGTATGCATATTGTACATAACATAACTATCATAAGTTTATTTTATGTGAGTTTCATAATTGCATATATATATATATATATGTAATGTACATTTGAATGAGCTAAAATGTTATAGAATACTGTGATCACTGACCAAGCATCTAAAAAAACATAGTTCCTTACTAGCAAGTACAAGAAAAGCATCTAAGAAGCTCTGCATACAATATACATCACACATATACAGACACTACATTATGCATAGTGGCCAATGTGTCATACAATATAAAAAAATGGGTCGTGTCTCGTGTGTAATGTAGCTCTGTGTTATGTATACACACCCTTAAGACTATTACAAGATGGATCATTCACGCGACGACTCACGTGGTAATGATTTTCTCTATATAAATATATATGGACTTCACAGTCTTCACTGAAATACAGTTACACCTGGATAATTATATTAATATTCTTGTTTGTATACTACAAGACAATTAATATGGTAGATTGGACCTTATATTATATACTTTTTACAAAACGTTGGGAAACTTTTGGTTCTATATATTAAACTCACTTGCAACTATCAGAGAGTCACACACACACAACAAACAAAAAAAAAAGAAGCCAACGTTCATCAATAGAGGCTAGCTATGCAGATCACAAGACCACATGCTGCCATGTTAGCTAGCCCGGGAATGGGCCACGTCATCCCGGTGATCGAGCTCGGAAAACGCTTAGCTGGATCCCACGGCTTCCACGTCACCATCTTCGTCCTTGAAGCCGACGCAGCCTCCGCTCAATCCCAATTCCTCAACTCACCTGGCTGTGACGCGACCCTTGTTAACGTCATAGGCCTCCCGTCTCCGGATATCTCCGGTTTAGTTGATCCATCAGTCAATTTCGCGATCAAGATCTTGTTCATGATGCGTCAAACCATTCCAACCCTCCGATCAAAGATCTCGGAGATGCAACACAAACCAACGGCTTTGATCGTGGACTTGTTTGGCTTGGACGCGTTACGGCTCGGTCGTGAGTTCAACATGTTGACTTATATCTTCATCGCTTCAAACGCACGTTTTCTCTCGGTGGTTATGTATTTCCCAACGCTGGAGAAAGACGTCGAAGAAGAGCACATAATCAAGAAGAAGCCCTTGGCTATCCCTGGATGCGAACCGGTTCGGTTTGAAGATACAATTGAAACGTTCCTTGATCCGACCGACCAGATATACCGGGAATTTGTTCCTTTTGGTTTAGTTTTCCCAACGGCTGATGGTATTATTGTGAACACATGGGATGACATGGAGCCCAAAACTTTGAAATCTCTTCAAGACCCAAAGCTCTTGGGTCGGATCGCTCGTGTACCGGTTTATCCAATTGGTCCTTTGTCCAGACCGGTTGATCCATCCAAAACTAATCATCCGGTTTTGGATTGGTTAAACAAACAACCGAACGAGTCGGTTCTTTACATTTCATTCGGAAGCGGCGGCTCTCTCTCGGCTAAACAGCTCACCGAGCTGGCTTGGGGGCTCGAGTTGAGTCAGCAACGGTTCGTTTGGGTGGTTCGACCGCCGGTAGACGGTTCAGCTGACAGCGCGTATTTTTCGGTTAACAGCGGCAAAATACAAGACGGTACACCGGATTATCTACCGGAAGGGTTTGTTAGCCGGACTCACGAGAGAGGACTTGTGGTCTCTTCTTGGGCCCCGCAGGCCGAGATCCTGGCCCATCAAGCCGTTGGTGGGTTTCTGACTCACTGTGGTTGGAACTCGGTTCTTGAAAGCGTCGTTAGCGGTGTTCCGATGATCGCTTGGCCGCTTTTCGCGGAGCAGAAGATGAACGCGACGCTGCTCATCGAGGAGCTTGGAATCGCCGTCCGGTGTGGGAAACTTCCGTCGTCGGAGGAAGTGATTTCGAGGGTGGAGATTGATGCGACGGTGAGAAAGATCATGGTGGAGGAGGAAGGTTGCGAGATGAGAGAGAGGGTTAAGAAGCTTAGGGATACGGCGGAGACGTCACTGAGTTGTGATGGTGGATCGGGTCACGAATCGTTGTCGAGAGTGGCAAACCAGTGCGACTGTCTTTTGGAGCGTTCCAGAGGAATGGCTCGTGGTGCCTAGGAATGATTTTACCGTTTTGAAAAATTACGTTTGAACTGCGTGCCGTTTTACTGTTTTTGAAATATTGTTTTTTTTTTTTTCGTTTCCGAGTCTTGCGCTTGCCACATGGTATCACGTTTTATTGTTTCAGCGCCACTTGCAATCTGCCAATCACTAATGTATCTACATTGTATAAATAAATAAATGGTGTTTAGTTTGTATAATAATGTGTTTTTTTATAATCTAGAAGTCTTTGGTTATTGAACATAAGGTTGTATATTTGACGTCAATCTGAAGCGTTGATTTATTTTTCTTGTGTAAGAATCTGATGATGTATGAAATCACTATGGTGATTGTTATTGCTTTATTTATCTTAAGATTTTTTAATCAGCCAATAATAGTAATCCTCCTTAGGTGATTGTATTATATAATCAAGCTAGTCACTGTACGTCACATCGAACTAAAAAAGGTAAAAAGGGAGTAGCTCAGTTTTGTCTTCTACTTACCTTTTCATCCAACTTTATTAATCTCTTATATATATGTTAACGAATCTTTGTTAACGAATCTTTATTAACGAATCTTTGATTTTCTTATTTGATTAGTTAAGGAAACTTTGATCTAATTGGGACTGCGATTAAGAAGAAACAAATTACACATTATTTTAAGCCCAAAATTTTGCATTTATCAATTGACTATCATATGCATAGTGCTATTAGTGCATTGTCCACCGGAAAATGTACGCAGTCTGGTCCCCTTCGTCTATCGTATTTTAAATTCTCTCGTCTTATATGCCATTATGTAACAGATTGACATGCGGTGATACGGTGATAGTCGTAGATTTATTACAAATGGTTATATTATCTCCACTTGAAAAGGTTACATAATATAAGTTGAATCTTTATATACCTAGAACATGATATGATTGGTAATTTGGTCATGAGATTATTAATTTATATATGGCACTGGAATTGGTTTATATAGATAGCTTAGTTTCATGTGAAAACCGGAAATTGTAAGAATTGGTTACTCATATTTGATCTACTTTAAAACTAGTTATCAGTTTAATTTCAAAATGTATATAATAGAAATAATAAAGGTGTTGCCATGTGCTTGAAGCCAGTTGATAAGCTCCAACTCCTTGAATTACTTATCTTCCAAACCAATTACAAAACTAAGAACCCTAAATTCTAAGTACACCTTGAACAGAGACGCAGCTCTGAGCCTACAAACACGCAGGTTTGTTGATACACTTCACATGCATAATCCATAAAGAACAACAACGACTTCTAATTCCTTTGTAACAGCAAACCCTCTGTTTGCTTCCAAAGCTTCTCTTCAACATAACTAGTCTTCGCGAGTCTTCTCTTTACTCTGCCACACATAGTGTCCCACGTCGTATCACCAATCGAGCTGGCAACTAAGTTTTATATGTTCCAGTTTAAGACTGTATATCATTGATTGCAACCAATCTCGCTTTGTTAATTGTTTGGAAACGATTTTAGATCACCAATCTCTCTTTTTCGTTATGCAACATAACTAATGCTTTTTCTCAAAGACATAACTACGGACTGGAACAGAGCAAAGAGACTATTAAAACACCTACATTAGTAATGCTTTACTTTGAATAATATTATTTATAAACCAAAAATCTAAAACCCTATAAATCCGAAGATAGGCCGATCCAACAAGGACTGGACACTAATAGCAATTTAAAAACTATATTTGTCCTTTTTAAATAAAAAAAGTAAAAGAAAAATTTTTGCGTTCATCTAGTCCCTCTAGTATGCAGATATCGAAATATCTGTTACATATACTGATCAAATTTTTATAAAACCAAAAGCTAAATATAAACAAAACAAAAAATTGACATCACCAGCAATTTTACTGATAAAATAAAAATTGGGCAGGTTTTGTATAAGACAACTAAGGTGGTAGATACGACTCTAACCCCAAATAAAGGTGGTAGATACAATAATACAAACGTTTTATGTGAAAAATAAGATATTATACTTAAACGTCTGAAGACTTTTGGTTTTATATATCAAACGCACACATCAACCAAAAAAAAAAAACAAATCGTCGATCAAAGACATGGAGATTACAAGACGACATGCTGCCATGTTTGTTAGCCCGGGAATGGGCCACGTCATCCCTGCGATCGAGCTCGGAAAACGCTTAGCTGGATCACACGGCTTCCACGTCACCATCTTCGTCCTCGAAGCCGACGCAGCCTCCGCTCAATCACAATTCCTCAACTCACCTGGCTTCAACACGGCCCTTGTTGACGTCATCGGCCTCCCGGCTCCGGATATCTCCGGTTTAGTGGACCCATCAGCCCTTATTGGGATGAAGATCATGACTATGATTCGTGAGAGCGTTCAAACCCTCCGATCAAAGATAGCTGAGATGCAGCACAAACCAACGGCTCTGATCGTAGATGTGTTAAGCTTGGAGGCTTTACGTCTCGGTGGCGAGTTCAACATGTTGACTTATCTCTTTATCGCTTCAAACGCGCGTTTCGTCGCGTTGATGATGTATTTCCCAACGCTTGACAAAGACGTCCAAGAAGAGCATATAATCAAGAAGAAACCCTTAGCTATACCGGGATGTGAACCGGTTCGGTTTGAGGATACTTTCGAAATTTTCCTTGACCCGTCGAGCAAGATTTACCAAGAATGTGTTCCGCTCGGTTTAGTATATTCGACGGTTGATGGTATTATTGTGAATACATGGGATGATATGGAGCCCAAGACATTGAAATCTCTTCAAGACCCAGAGCTCTTGGGTCAGATCGCTCGTGTACCGATTTATCCGATTGGTCCTTTGTCTAGACCGGTTGATCCATCGAAAACTAATCATCCGGTTATGGATTGGTTAAACAAACAACCGGATGAGTCCGTGCTTTACATCTCTTTTGGAAGCGGCGGGTCTCTCCCGGCTAAACAGTTAACCGAATTGGCGTGGGGACTCGAGCTGAGTCAGCAACGGTTCGTTTGGGTGGTCCGACCACCGATAGCCGGTTTAGCTTGCAGCGAGTATTTATCGGTTAAAAGCAGCGAAATACAAGACGGTGCGCCTGATTATCTACCGGAAGGGTTTGTTAGCCGGACTCACGAGAGAGGCCTCGTAGTCCCTTCATGGGCCCCTCAGGCCGAGATTCTGGCCCATCAAGCCGTTGGTGGGTTTCTGACTCACTGCGGCTGGAACTCGATTTTCGAGAGCGTTGTAAGCGGCGTTCCGATGATCGCTTGGCCGCTTTTCGCAGATCAGATGGTAAACGCGACGCTGCTCAACGAGGAGCTTGGGATCGCCGTTCGATCTAAAAAACTGCCGTCAGAGGGAGTTATTTCAAGGGTGGAGATCGAGACGTTGGTGAGGATGATAATGGTGGAGGAAGGTTGCGAGATGAGAAAGAAGGTTAAGAAGCTTAGGGACACGGCGGTGAAATCGCTGAGTCGTGACGGTGGATCGGCACACGAATCGTTGTCGAGAGTCGCCGAGGAATGTGAACGTCGTTTGGAGCCTGTTAGAGGCACGGCACGTGGTGCCTAGCAAATGCTTACCGTTTTTTATTTTTACGTTTGAACTGTGTGTCATTTGAGTGTGTTTTTCAGTTTCCGGGCCTTACCACATGTCACTTGCTTTTAATAATGTCTAATCTACGTTGTACAAAGTGTTTAATATGTATGATAATTTTTTTTTTAAATCAGAAAAAACCCTCTAATTCGGTCTTAGGTTGGCAATGGAAGGTCTGTATATGATCTAAAATATTTGAAGACTTGAACTTGATCTAAAACGTTGACTTAAAAAAACTCTTGTATAAGAATATATGATATGATGTACAAAATCATTGTCATGGCGGTATGGTAACTAAATTTATGTAATATGATTTCTTAATCATTACTAATTCCTTAAGGTAATTGTACTACAAAATTTATAATAACGTCACAGACTACATTATCGACCTAAAGAAACAAAAAGGAAGTAGCTCAGTTTTGTCTTAAAATACAGGTTTTGTTTTTTTTCTTACAAAGATACCAATTGGAGAGTGATCCAAAGATCAAATGAAGAAATACAGCTTTTAAGCAAGGAAAGGAAGAGAGTCACAGAACAACAACCAAAGCCGAGAGAGTAGCCGGATACATTCACTCGATGAAGTGGAAAAGGCCGAACCATGTAGTGTGATAAACAAGTGATCCAGCTTTTTGTTTATCAATCTCTCTATATGCATTTTTCACGACGAGGGAGGCATGGGGGCACTCGAAAACAACGATAGGTTTACTTAAACATAAAATACATCAATCATTTTAAGCGATGACGTGCGTTATTACAAATTCAACCGGCAACAAATATTTTATCATTAAATATAAAACTATACCAAATCACTCACTTGTTTATTATACATTGTCTACGGAATATGCTCAGTACTCTCCGTGCTTTTGATTTGGACATTAATTCTTCTGACTCTATTTGTTTATTATAATTTACATTCGATTTTTCTTTGTGATTTGAGTTTTTGGTTGAATTAGTCTTCCAACCGTACAACCTCGTCGGACGTTCAACAACACAATGATATTTATCGTTGTTATCCCAAAAGTGCTCTTCAACACAAAAGTTTCCGTCCAACCTTAATCCTATAAGGTTTCTGGTGAGAGGCATAGTATGATTATGTGTTAATAAAGAAAAAACTCAAAACCAAATAATTTAGGTTCTTTTCATTTGTATATTCATTTTATACATAAGTGAAGGTTAAAAAAAAAATCAATATATATATTTTTGCATTATGCATGGTTTAAACTATGGTCTATAACATATTGACAGTAAAAACACAAACCAGTAGAATACAAATCATAGTCTAAACATTTTAATATCAATTAATATATTTTGTTATTCAACTTGACGATGTAACATATTTTCTATGTAAAATAAGTAAAACCTACACATGTCCATATCTAAAAATATGATGATATTATTTCCAGACTCCTAACCTAACCATGCTTTCCCTTTAGGGCTGGTAGCGCCCTGGTAACATCAATAGCTGGTCTCGAATGAGTTGGTTTGACCGACGGAAAGCATAGGAGCAGATAAGTTCAGTCTGGCGGCTGAGATAAACAGACCCCCAGGCCAGAAGCTCCAAGCCTTAACTACAATCTTCTTCGATGCTCTCTTTTTATTTTTAGAAAGGGGTGGTACTATAAAAAGAGTCAAGGATCCTCTGCTCCCCTTTGTTTTAGCAACTTAAGCTATAATCCTGTAATTTTAAAGATTTTTCTTCCTTCATTTTTTAGCTCTTTCTAAAATTATAACTCAAAAATATTTCCAATTACAAGATGGAAATGATATATATTCTTCATAGGTACTAGGTACTATTTGGTCTTCATAGTTAATTTTCATAACGCAGAAGAAGATCCCGATAACCTTCAATTCAATACTGAAAGCTTGTGGTGAAAGAAACCTTAAGAACAACACCCATCAGCTCCTCGATCTATTATTCCCAAGAGAAACAATTAGTCAAATCAATGTTCACGGCCACGACATTCCCTTCTAGTGGTTAACCCTTAGTCAATAGATCCTAAACACTGGATAGAAACTGATCATAACAATGCAATGGCAGAGCTTGTTAGAAAACCCGTAGGTGATGTAAACGCTCAAGACGAGATCCGTACTTGCATTGGAATCAAACAAAATGAGAGAATCCTTAAATATATCATTGGAATTATTGAATGCAGCACCAGCGATCATGTGCAATGCATGGCGTTGTATACAATATAAACTTTAGTGACACTTTAGTTTAGTCTATACTGTATACTGATAACACTTTGTACCCCTTTGAAATTTTATAGATACATAAAAATGACTAGAAATTGCATAATCTTCAGTGACGTGTTCATTTTAACAAACCTCTCTTCTTAATGGTTGACCTAAGCCATTAGAAATCAATCTCCACATAAAATATTAATATACGGTGCCGTTTTCATATTTCATATGTTTTTTGTGCCTCTGATTTTCATAGAATTGGATTAAAATATACTAATACTGAATCACTGTCTTCCGGTCATGTGGAGATTTATCATATTAGAATTAGAACTAAGCAACAACTTTTTTGGGACCGAGTGACGCGTTTGTAATATTTTTGCTCTGCGCCTTAGTGAATACCACTTTTCAAAAAAAAAAATTAGAAGTTTTTTTTCCTTTTTTGTATGGCATATTTTCTTGGTAAATAAATGTCAATTTCTTATTTTTAATAATTCTTTTATTTGTATTTCTTTTGTGGGAGACTCAATAAAAGAATGGAAAATATGTTATTTTAGGAATTTCTCTTATATGAAAGAAAGCAATGAGAAATGAGTTGTATGGAGATATTTCCCTTAAATGAAAAGAGGGTATTAACGGACAAAAAGTAGGTATTTAACTATTTATAGTTAACAGACGGTTCTAATAGATACAAGCAAAATTTGTTATTTAAAGCTTTCAACTATGGCCCTTAAATGGGAAAAAGATATCAATTTAGCTAGTTTTTACATGAGAAACTAATTGATAATATTGAAAATGTTATATTTTCTTAATTACATGAGAAATATGTAGATTTAGTTTTTACACCAATATTGAATTGATTGTTTAGCACAATTTAAAACCGTCACTTAACACTATTTCTTACTTTTTTTTAACATCAATCATGTTAAAATTAATCGTTTATCATTGAAATTACTAATGATGTGATTAGATTTTTCTTATTCATAATATATATATACATACATATATAATAGAAATATATATAAAATTAGAAAATATATAATAATTTATATTTTAATAGTTTTTTATCTAAGAAATTTGGCTAAACTAAAACCTAAATATTATCCAGAAAATGAAACGGAATACATATTTTTTTTTTAAATGATTTTTTGTATGCCATACCATTTGTAAATTATAAATATATATAATAATTTTTAAAAAGATATATTTTCATGTAATAAAATGGTCAGAAACTGAACACTTAAATATTATGTTGAAACAGAAACGGAGCAAATTTTTTTTTTTGTTTGGTACATGTTTTTTTTTTTTGTTACTTGAAATGATTTTTGTTTCCTTTTTCTTTGCGCTATACCATTTGTACATGTCATGCCTATAATTTTTTCTAAAAGAGGCACAGTTGCATAACAGGGCCACATAGATTTTAAGGAGATAAGAAGCGTAAGATTCTGAAGGAAACCACGCCATACTTAGTGATAAACACTTCAATTCAAATTAATGAGTTTTAATTGCCAGTTAATACATAAAACAAATTTTCGATTTTTCTTTCCTTCTTGTCCCACTGTATCTGGAGCGTCCATTTTATTGAATCATACACGTCTCAAAAACGTTTTACAATTACACAAGTACCCCCAGAAGTTTGCAGTAGTATAAATACGAACATGTATTTCCTCTTCATATCATCTTCTTCCTCACTCACTCACTTACAGTCTTAAGAAAAGAAAGCTAAAATGTTCCAGAGAACTCAAGCAATGGCAGTTGCTTCGGCGATGACGCTTTACCCAAACTACCCTTTCTTCTTGTCGCCGTCTGACCCTGAAAGAGTCGAGTATGTTGATAACTCATTCGACTTTAACATCGGGAGAGAACTGCTGCTCGACCCAAACGACATCGTGACGAGAGAGATGATTGGAGAAGGAGGCTACTCCATCGTCTACAAAGGCTTGTGTGTTTCCTCTCTCTCTCTCTTTCTTTCTCTCTCTCTCTCTTTCTCTCTCTCTCTCCCTCTCCCTCTCTCTCTCTCTCTCTCACTCTCTTTCTCTCTCTCTCTCTTTCTCTCTCTCTCTCTCTCTCTCTAGATCTTTAAGATTTTTGTTTTCTTTATTTTATAAATTAAATGCGTTTAATTAATTGATATTTTGTTAAGGATAAGGTTCCTCTTCTATGTTTGTTTGTTATATATTTTGTTTCTTCCATTTTGATTTAATTTTCAGTTTATGAGTGTATCTAAAGAATTTAGGGCTCAGCTTTTCAGGGTATGAGTTTAGGTGTCCTTTTGCTGATTGAAAACGAACTGCACTAGGATTGTCTTCTTCTTTTATTGTTAGGGTTTCCCCAAACAAAATTAGGCGATTTCATGTTTTTTTTTTGTTGTTGTTGTCAAAGTTTCATTTCATACAGTAAGTGAAGTTTTGGGTACTGTCATGAGGCAAATAATCTTTGTCAATTGTATTCAATTAGATCTACACCAACAGTTTGTGTCTCTGATGTTTTTTTTTACATAGAAACCGTTAATGACAAAATCTTAATCAGTGGCATGCATAAGAATGAACTTTCTTGCTAATCACTGTTTTTGATTACCATCTAACTACCTCAAACATTCGTATATATTCTGGGGTTTTTCATGTGTTCTCTCTAATGATTTATAGATTCAAAAGTTTCATTCCTGTGGCGGTGAAGATAGTGCAGCCAAGTCGAACAGCTGCTGTAAGCAGACAGCACAAGGAAAAGTTTCAGGAGGAAGTGCTGTTCCTATCCAAGATTCATCATAACAACATTGTTAAGGTAAAATGAACAAAAAAAATAAAAAACTTTTGGTGTTAGATTTCAGTATTAGTAAACATGGTTTTTGATGAAATTATGACAGTTTTTTGGAGCTTGCATTGAGCCACAGCTGATGATTGTTACCGAACTCCTCGAAGGCGGTACTCTTCAGAAGCTCTTGTGGGACTCTCGTCCAATCCCTCTTGATCTGAAGATGTCACTAAACTTTGCTTTGGATATCTCTCGAGCCATGGAGTATCTGCACTCAAAAGGCATCATTCACCGTGATCTGAAGCCAAGTAATATATGCTCCATTAATATTTACATACGCTTACTTGTAAAGAAAAACAAATTGAGAGTTTGCTTCCTGTGTCCAGGGAATGTGCTGGTAACAAGTGATCTGACAGAAGTGAAGTTGGCTGATTTTGGACTTGCAAGAGAAGAGACTGCGAGTTGTATGACTAGTGAGGCTGGCACTTACAGATGGATGGCTCCTGAGGTTGAATCTATGAGCACAATCTTTGACAACAATGTTTCATAAGAAAAATCTATAAATGAATGTTTTATATGCATGTTTTGTACCCACAGGTCTTTAGCCGTGAGCCGCTCAGAATTGGGGAGAAGAAGCATTATGATCACAAAGCTGATGTTTACAGCTTCGCTATTGTTTTCTGGGAGTTGCTTACTAACAGACAACCATTCAGTGGACTGCATCAAATCACTGTGCCATATTTTGTGAGCCAGGTAATTAAGAACTCACAAAACCAATATTTTTTACCCGGAATCTCTTGAAAATGGAGCTGATTTTGAAAATATTGTATCTTCTTTTCTCACAGAAAGAGAGGCCAAGCCTTAGGGATTTGCCGGATGAAATTGTCTCCATTCTGGAATCTTGTTGGGCAGAGGACTCGAACGCACGCCCTGAGTTTAAGGAGATTACTGTCTTGTTGACAAACTTGATGAGCAGTTTGTACTCAGACACAGACAGTAGCTGTGGTGCAACAGTAATAATGAACTATCTATCTGATGATCTCGATACGATAGATGAGGGTTCAATGACCAATCTGACTCAAGATGAGGGTTCAACGACCAATCTGATTCAGGAGAGGGAGCCTGAGGAGAGGAGGAGGAAGAAAAAGAAGAAAGTGATGAATTTCATCCGTCCTTTCTTCAAGATGTTCAGGGCTTGTTTGTACAAGCCATGACCCAACTTTGTGTTTCTCATAAAGGTTGGAAAGAAAAATGGCGTTGAGCTCCTTTAATTTCATGTTTTTTTTTTTTTTTGTTGAAGACTTCTTTCATTACAAAACCCATAGGAAGTTGGTCGTTGAAACAAAAAGACAAAGACTGCAAATTTAGTCAGTGTTTGTTAATTTGTTATTTTTGGGTTTTGTTGTTGTTGTCGTTGTTGTTGTTGTTGTTTCAAATATAAAATAAAATAAAAAAGCTATGCATTGCCATTTTTCTTTTCACAGAAACTCCAGCTATATTTTACATGAATCCATGTTTTATCGTTATGGAAAATATATGTCCATTGAATAAATCTCAGGTAGGTTTGGATAACTTTAACATTTTAAATTTGAATGATAATCATCATATTTGACCCCCCCCCCCCAAAAAAAAGAATGATAATCATCATAATACAGATTTATGGTACGATTAGTTAGGGATGTATATGTATAGATATTATTCTATTGTGTAAATTGTATTTGTAGTCTTGTTAAAAAAATTGTATCACACTATATATAATATATATATATATATTTACTGGCTGTTAATAAACCTTCGGTTTGGCCAGCTTTCCAACTTACGATGCATCAATGAATGGCGTGTGTACTAAGAGTTTTCCGGTAAAATTTTATGTCGCATCAGGTTTTCCTTCTTATGTCGCATGATCTTTATCATGAACGATCCTTTATCTGTGTAAAAAAGGGTTTTTGTTCTTTCCTCGTTTTCTCGAGTTTGTGGTGTATGTTTTGGATTCTGGTTATCTTTGTCGTCACTCGTCGAATTAATTAAAAAAAAAAGATATGAATTCGCTTTTTAATTTGTTTGACAAACATAAACGTGGATAACTTTTGAAGTGAACATGCCATACGTTGCCACCAAAATAGCACATATCATTTACCTGAACCTTGGCTATATATTCTATCAATTGATATCAATTGCTACTGCTATCTTTTTCCGATTATCGCATATATATTACAAGGTTTGAATTCAGATATAGTGATCACACATTCACACTAGTACAAACTCCTAAACCATATATCATGATGTTCTTTTTTTTTTCTAATTATATCATGAAACGTGTATCACCTTAAATAAATAGTTTATCATTTACGTGAACCCTTAGCTATATATGAGATATGAAGATGCATGGTTTGTCTTGATAGTGTGGTTTTCCTCTAGATAAAACACAAGATTAGCTCTGAGAAGATTCATGCTCTGTTTTTTTTTCAAAAAGTTTTAAAACAGTTTTTTTTGTGGGGGAGAGAGAAACAATTACTTCCCTCAATTTATTCATACCAAAAAATTAAATACAAACTCGCCGTGGAAACGAAGTTCTACGCGCATCATCCGCAAAAATAGAATTAACAACACTACGAATAGAATCCAAAAGAATGAAAACCTAAATAAAGAATATATTTTTAATATTGTAAAACAGTTTATTTTTTCTTTTGAATATAATTTAACATTAGATTAAAAAAATATATATATTCTATCAACTGCTGCTACTGCTATCCTTTTCTGACAATCACGTAATATTTGTTTGTTTAGCAGTTGTTTGTCATGATCGTTATTTTGTTTTTTTTTTTTAATTATATCATGAGACCTATATTACCTTAAATAAATATGAACACTGTATTTTATCCGAAAATAAATAAATATGAACGATGTATTAAATACGCCATGTATACTAAAACCAAAAAAAAACGTGTATGCAGAATGCAGTGATTTAATTATGTAACTCGAAGCATCAAAAATTGGGAAAAGACTCCAATAGATATGTATCCCTTTCATGAAATAAAGGAGCTTCTTCAATTGTCTGAAGCGTTAAAAATGGAAGATTGAAGACAATTTTTATATCTCATTAGGTTTTATTTCCTGATTGCATGATCTATTTATCCTGAACGACTCTTTAACTATGTAGAAAAAGGCTTCTGTGTTTTTGTTCTTTACTCTATTTCGTGGTGTATGTTGTGGACTAAAGGGAATCAGAAGTATTATTTTATATATTTGGGCCTATTTAGAGGTAAATGGGCTTTCAAATTATAGCGTATTTATCATTATCTTTATGATGCCTCAATCGTAATTAGAGATTTAAACAGTTCTTTAGTGGTGTTTGTCCTGTCATGATATATCATTTTATTATTATGGACCTACAAAATATCTATTGTCGAATCTCTTTTTCTTTTTGTCTATCGAATATCATCTTAATCAAATCAGTGGTCAAAAATCGAAAGGTAAAATTTCAATATTCGATCGAAATCCAACGAAAACAATGGGGTCCCAAAACTCTTCAAGATTTGGAAAGAGTTTTCTATTAAAAGAAGTAAATCTCATCTCCCTGTAAATTCCTATTAAGGCAATGAAAACAAAACATTTCCATTTATTGCATTCTCACGTAATATTTAGACTCAGTCATCATCAGTCCCTCACTAACTATTTCTTTGCGTTTAAGAATAAAGAAATAAGTCAATTAATCAGAGTATAATTAGCTGCAAAAATAATATAAATTTAAACCTTCTCTTTTAAATGGAAGTTTACTACTACTCTTATAATTCAACTCACACTAAAGCTACTGAACAAAGAACATAGAAAACTCCAATCTCTGAAACATAGTAACTTACACTGTACTTATGATGATGTTCTTCTACCAATGTCTTTCACTGAAAACTCTCCTGATCCAAACGCAGCCGCCACATCGACGCCGCCGGTTCCTCCAACTAGAGCGGATAGTCCGTTTCCGGGACCACCGCCACCATTGCCAACGGCTCTACCTAATCCGAGAAAGTCTAATGTTGTCTGTTTCGGACCAAACACAGAGGAGTTCCCCATCATGAGCTCTTTCAAACCCGAGCTGCTTTCGCCGCCACAAGGCAGTCCCAATCCTAAGCCATGAGGGACTATTGAGTCCATAGAAGGTGAAGAAGATGAAACAATGCCTAACCCTCGAAGCAATGATCCTCCCGAAGAAGTTGCTCCCATTTGAGCTGCTTTTTGAAGCAGAGCAGTTGCTGACATTGCGGGCTGAGTTGGGAACCGGGTTGACCCGAGAAATGATGATCCATGACTTGTTGAGAGCCCCAAAGAGATGGGTTCGATGGATGAGGATGGCGCAAATAGAGACTGTGATGATGATGAAGAAGAAGAAGAAGATGTGTATATGCTTGGAGAAGCTGATGAAGATTCGAATAAGCCTGCGAAAACGCCGTTTCTTGTAACGTTTAAACCGGTCGGTTTTGGAGCTTCTTGTAAGGTTTCTGGAGGGGTTTTTGGTGATTCTGCAAAATCGTATAAAGTTTGAGACTTTTCTTCTATATAATCAATAGAAAAATTGAAGGAGTAGAAAAAAAAGCAAATCAATCATATCTTTTGATTTCTTTATCATAAAAGAATCAATCAAGCTATATAGAACACCAAAACTTACCAAACGAATTATGTTCTTAATCAGGTAACAGATAAAATAATACGACGCTACGGACAAAAACCTACTAGACTCCAAGATCACCGACCATTACACACAGATTTCTCATTCTTCGTTTTCTTCTAAAACTAGAAAGAAAGACAAAACAAGCAAACATAGCGACAAGAAAGGATTCCAAATTGCCTAGCTTTGCTAATATAGACTGAATTCCATAACAGAGTTTTACTTTTACCTGATCGCTTAATCGGAGGAGATTTGATTTTAGCAGATTGAGTATCCACCGGAGCAAGATTCGGAGACGACGGTGAATTAGCTGCAGCTACAGATTTCGGGTCGGGTACTGGTTTCTTCCGGGGCAAAACTACCGGATTCTGCTTCTTACTAGGATTATTATGGCTTCTCGCACTTTCTTCAGCCAAAGCATCACAGAAAGCTCTATGCGTTATAAAGCTATCCCTCCTACAAGAGAAGAACAATTAAGGATAAAAAAATTCTTAAAAGATTTGGAGATTGAGAAATTGGATTGATTGTTTAAGCACGTTACCTAGAAAACAGAGTACCACAATCGCATTTATACTCTTTGGTGCCACAAATCTTCGAGTGAGCTTTCCAATCGGACACAACAGCGTATTTCTTGGAGCATTTGTCGCATTTCCACTTCTTCTCGCCGTGTTTCCGACAAAAGTGTTTCTTGATTCCGGTGAGATCTCCTAAAGCGCGTGAAGGGTCGTGATGAACACAGCTGATCTCAGGACAAACGTAAACCTTTTTCCTCACTTCTTTGCTCGATTTCTGTCTGAGTTTCCATGGAAGATTGTGACCTCGACGGTGAAGCTGCAGATTCTGGTCTCTCTGGAATCCTTTGCTGCAGATTTCGCAAACGAATCTGTTTGTTGCTAGTAATGTTTTTGGTGACAAAGCTATAACTTCTGATTCTGGATCTGAAACGAAACAAATAAAACAAGCATAACAAAATCAGGAAAAACTGAAAGAAGAGAAATTTCTAATTTGAGTTACATAAAGTTTGGATTTTTAAGTTACCGGGCATGCCTGGGAGGTTTCGTTTCTTTTTTCCGGAGGATTTTAGAAGTGGGTTTTGGTTTCCGGTGGATGAGACACTTGCCTCGCCGGAAACTGTGGAGGAGTTATCTAAATCTACCGGCATCTTCCAAAAAAAAAAATCGAACTTTTTTCTCTCTACTGATTTTTGAAGTAACCCAAGAAAAAAAGTAAAGTAAGAATGAAATAAATGAAGAAAATTTCAGCTCATTTTCGTCAACCAAGTTTCAACCTTTAGGGTTTATCTTTTCTCACTCTTCTTTTTTATCTTACTCTCTCTCTCTCTCTCTCTCTCTCTCTCTCTCTCTCTCTCTCTCTCTCTCTCTCACTTTCTATATTTCTCCTCCGTTGTTCTTCAGCTACCAGTCAATCAATCTGCTTTTCGTAAAAACCTCTTTTTCGCTACCTACCTTTTCTGATAACGATAAAAACAAAAAAAATTTAAAACTAGAAAAAGAAAGTTTTCATTTTAACTCCTCCACTGGACACGGCGATTTCTCAGATCCAACGGCTGAGATTCCACCGGAGAGAAACGCCGTCGTTGGTCTTACCGTTCTCACAAAGCTCTAATTTTTTTTCGCTGTGGTTTTTGTTCTTTTTCGAAAGAGACAGAGAAAGAAGAAGAATAACAAGGCGGCTCGTGAGATTTCGTGTGAAAGAAAGCTACGACCCTTTTTTTTTTGGTTTCCCTTTGGTTTTTACGAGACAAATGAGCTTTCTTCTTCTTCTCTCTCTCTATCAACACAACTATTATTAATTTTTTCCTTCTCTTTAATCGATTTTCACAACTTTTCAACACTTTAGATATTTTTAAATTTGGGAGATTTTTAAAATAATAGTTTTCCAGCCATCTAAAAGAAATATTTTGTCGATCCTTGTGGGGTTCGAGTGTTTTCAAGTATCTATCTTGATTCTGCTGGACTCCCATGCATTACTTATGAATTTTTAAAAAAAAAATTAATCAATCTCATTGTCTTTCTTGAATTCTTTTTTACTATTGTCTGCTCATTTAAAACTAAATGGATAAGAGACTAAAACGATGTTACTAGATAAAGGAGTTTTATGTCAATGATTGGTTATTTGATCATATCCCCAAATGTGCTGAGAAAATTTTGCAGATGAATTATAATTGCCACATTCAAATTGAATGATTATAGGGGATAGAATGGATTAGTTCAATAAACATTAAAACTGTTTTATGTTTGTTATTCATAAATTTTGATCTATATATAATAGTGTTGACAAAACAAACAAAGTTCTGTCTGGAGCTTACTAAAAAAAAAAAGGTAATTTACGGTAGATTGTATCCATTTTAAAAGCTGAATGGTTTTAACGCGTTAAACTAATTTATTCCAATTTCTATCTTAAGATTTTTCAGGTTTTTATAAATTGTAAGCAAAGTAAAAGTTTAAAAAAAAAAAGATTCACTGCCGTTATCCTTAAGCGAAGACAGTGGAGGATTTACCGTCACGCTGTCGGGCCAAACACCTCCGATGAAAAAGTAATTTCCATATTTGTCGAGAAACAATAACAAAAGAAGATAAACAATTACGGAAATTTTTGAAATATACGGTTGATTTTGTCGTCTAGCGATGTGATCAAGCATTTCCGTGTTCTGAATTCTGATATCATATTCATACTAGTACACCATTTAATGCAATTGATCGCGTAATTTTGTTGACTTTGACGTGTTTGTTATCTACATGTTACATTTACTACGTTGATTTTCAGATTTTGATACAAGGAGGCAGCCGTAAGCCCGTAAGTGTTTGAGGTGTTGTTAGGATGTTGCCACGTGTGTCGTTTAATTTCAATACGCCCGTTGGATAAAATTCGAACCAGATAACACCTTTTTAACAATAATTAATTGTCATCTTTGTCATAATATTTGCTATCAATCAATTGATCCTTTTTTTTTCAACTTTTGCATTTGATTATAAAAAAGTAAGAAGTGCAACGTTTTCTGCTAAAATTCATCAAAAACTAGTGTTTGACTTTATATACATTTTTTTCTGCTATCTATATTGTATATGAGTTTCAAAAACAGCATTATTTTAGGCGTGTCAGGGTCCCTCAAGATTCCAAAAACACTATTTAGCCAGCTTTGAAATTCCATTTCCTACGAAGAAAAAGTTCACTATCTAATAATCAAGCTAGTGAAATAATCAAATTAAGTGAAATAATAAATTTTATTCATTATAATATACTATTATATATTTATATGTATGATGGTCTGGGAAATAGACACATAATGATATAGAAAAATTGTAGAGTTTTGGGCCGCAATCTCTTTTCCCGAGCTGAGCCCATTAACCCAATAACTTTTTATGTTATTTTAATTCTTCTTATGCTGCGTATTTTGTTTCCAATTCATGTGTTAGCAAATCTCACTCAACAAATTAAACGTTTTTGTTGGAAGATCATGAAATATGTAACAATTAAATGCATACAGACATGATATAGACACGGTGTACAAAAAAATCTGACGTTGAATATGGGTTAACAACGAAAACAAAATAAAGGTGGTGTTAACTGTTAAGTGTCAACCAGACAAAGTATGTAGCCTATGTTTCACTTTCAATTAGGAAACGACTGAGATTAAAAGTCTAAAATTGTCCGGACAAAATCTGGACGACTGGACGTAATGTGTAACTCGAGTAAAATAATTTTTAAAAGTAAAGAAAGTAGCAATTTCTCCATTATTCAAACAGAATACATCGATGTTGAAAACATTCAATTCTTTTCCTCTGTTTTTTTTTTCAATGGATTTGAGCTTGTTCTCAACGATCATGTATGTTCGTATTGGAAGTTCCCAAATCCGAGGAAATGTATGTCTGGATGGGAACAACAATGGCGCTGAGGTTGTAAACTTGGATGACGGCTCAGAAGACAAGTGGTTCCATATATAGACGTTGTACAACTTATACAAAGCCCATCAAATATTGCTCCAATATTGTGTTTAAGGCTATCATGTAAATTTCGTATTATAGTTGACAAAATATCCATCATGGTCTTAAGGATATAACTTTGCAAATGTTAGGGCATATAGATAAAACCAGGTGGAGAGGACAACGTCGAAGTTTCACTAATTAAAGAGATAGATTCGACACGAGTGTTAATAGCAACAAAGATATGGGTGGTTTCGTGTTATGGCATAAATAGCCAAATTTGTGATCTCTCAAACTCGCCTCTTTCAACTGTAAAGTCATTTGCGGAAACAACAATTTTTGTTGTTGTAAAGTCCATTTACCGAGCAGTCATAGTTGTTTACTTGACCATCGATATCGCTTTGCGGATTTTTACATGTATATTCAATTATTTATTGACTGTTTGGTCCAGTGAAAAAAAGGAAAGACTTGAATCCACAACCGATGACGAATATGTTCCTAGGCGCTACTTACATTGGTGAGAAACATAATCCACGGAGAAAATTGCATAATTAATTAGTTTTTTTTCTTCCACAAATTGCATAATCCACGGTGAAAATTGCATGTCTAAACGTTTAGACATTTATTTTCTTTGTAATTTAATGGACAAATGAAGATGCATGTCTACAGAAGTTACAATGAATGGTTCAGAAAAAACTTTATCTAGTTGACCTTTTCTCTCTCCTCCTTTTCTTTCTCGAGCGAAATCAGATCTAAAACTTTCTCTTGCAGACACCTTAAAGGATTCTTCCGATCTCCCTCTTCGGCGTGCGTGGTGGCTCACCGTCGCCGGAGGAGGGACTCTGATGGCCCCTCTTTCGTTTGTTAGGTGTTTTGTCTTAGTTCGGCCGTCGGCTCGGTGTGGCGTCAAAGTGAAGTTTCTCCGGTGTGTAGTTTTCGTTCGACGGCGACGGAGCTTCAGTGGCGTCGCTGGGGTTGCGGTGGTGGAAGGCGATCTCCTTGTGGTGATGCGCCTCTCTGCCGTTCGCGTCGTTCTATCTCGGTGGGGTTTGCTTTCTTTGGTGTTCACCGGCGTTTCCCTCCGACGGTCTCTTTCGGCTTTTCTTTGCGAGTCCTCGTTGCCGGCGGCGAGCTCTCCGATTTTCCTCGGTGGTGTAGTTCGTCTCTCCCCGGTTAAAGTCCATCTCTGCCTCGTTTTGTTCATAGCGGTGTTCCCGAGGCATAAGTGTGGTGGCGATGTAGGCTTTGATCTCCTCGGCTCCAGCGGCAGCGATTCGGACCTAGAGGACGGGTTCAGTCTATGGTTTTGGTTTCGCAGGAGAGGTTTGGCTTGTGGCTAGCCTCGGAGTGGTGGCTCTCGTTTCTTCCGGCGTGTGTGGCTCCACCAACAATGTCTCTCGACGGTGGTTTTAGGCGGGTGGCTCAGCGGCTGTTCTCTCACCATGTTCGACGAAGTTTCCGGTGCCGTCTTTTCACCGTTGTGGCTCGGGTTTCGCTGTGGGTGTGTGTTTGTGTTATCAGCAATTCTCAGCAGTTTCGCAGTTTGGTCTTGGTCTTGACTCGTGAGGACTCCGATCGTGGTTCGGTGTAGATAGTGGAGCCTTTCGAGATGTGTATTGTAGAGGCGCCGGTCTGTTGTCCGGTTAGATTGTAGCTGTGGAGGTTGGTCCCTATGGAGGCTTCGGTTTCTACGGGAATGGTGGTTGGAAGTGACTTCTCCGATTACCGCTCAGACTTCCTTATCACCGGTTGCAGTTTAATCCGTTACGCATTTCGGAGATCACATCAGTTTTCGGAGAAGCTGTAGGTATTTTTTTTCCGGTGGTTAAAGGACGGGCCTCGGAAGGACGCTCGTGGCAACTATGATGTGAACTCCAGTTCTTTGAGCTGCGGCAAAAACGTGATGGTCTGTGCTTTTGCACGTGATTGCTGCTTTCTCATCTTGTTTGGTTTCGGTTTTATTTTTCTTCTCTTACTTGCTGGATATTTGGCTTTTTTGTGTTTCTGTTGTTTCTTTGTTGTTTTTGTGTGTCAGTAAATTTTGGTTTTCTGTTTTCTTCGTTGTATCTCTGTATTGTCTGTAAAAAAAATCAAAAATTTGGTATAAAATTTAACATTTAAAAAAAAAAAAAAAAAAAAAAAGTTACAATGAATCTCTTCTGTGTTTTGGGAAAACAATTTGAGTGAAATTGGCCTAGAACTTTGAATCACATATTGAATCGAATTAGTAACATTTCGAAATGATCTTCTCTAAGACAAAACATATGTGGAATTTAGTTAACGTACCCATGATGAATACGTCTAGTAATCTAGTATGGACTTGTACAAATAAATTCAATTAGACCAAAACTTAAACTCTTTCTAAGTTTCTATTTATAGTACAGTAGTAGAACAAAACCTATAATATACAACAACTCGAATGAATCACATGTTTCAAATTCGTAAACGAGATCCACTGTCTTGTAGAGATATTTGACAATTCATCAAGAAAAAAGAATAAAAATCACCGATAATGGCGTCTTTGTAAATATGTCAAACAAAGGGGTCCACTATTAGTTGCACACTACAGAGACGTGACGAAATTTTCCAGATCCAAAAACCTTACGTCTTTCTAGAGAACCAGCACAAAATTATTCAATCCACACCCTCCATTAAGCCACGTCATCGATCCTTAATATGTGAATCCAACGCTTATTAACGCGTTAAATAATTCACGCAAAAATACGTCAAAACCACCCGCCCCCACTTTTCGGCCCTTTTTTTTTCTTTGGTTTTTTCCCAGACCCGCCCCAATCAATTAAGAGCCCAACAAGAGACGATGTTTAGGTTTTCGTCTTCCTTCACGAGGTTTAGTGGCGACTGGTGGTGACCGTACAAATTAGGGTTTCCTTTTACGCCGGTAGAGAAAAAAAAACATCGAAAAGGGAGTTTATTTGACTCTGTTACCCTCTAATCAACTCTTACCCCCATCGAGATTTCGCGGTTTCCTTCTGTTCAATTTTTTTTTTTTTGGGGATTTCTGTGTTGTGATTCTTCTTCTCGCGAGTTTCAAAGCTATTATCTTTTTGAGAGACGTGAAATACGGATACTGGTGCGGCGAGATTTTAGGCGGGTTTTTGTTTTTGATGGACGAGATTTGGGAAAGAGCTGTTGAAGCGGCTTTGGATGGTCAAACGGACCGTTTAGCTACACGGACGTTAACACTTGACGGTGCTGCGAAATGCGTCCAGGGACGTTTACCACCACCTAGCCTTCTCGAGAGGTTTCAGAATCTTCAGCATCTCTCAATAGCTAACATCGGTGTTTCTTCGCTCGAGCAGTTCCCTAGGCTCGGGAATCTGCAGAAGCTAATCTTATCTGATAACCGGATCACTGTGGGTCTGGAGTTTCTGGTCGAGGCTGGGCTTGATTCGCTGCGTGATTTGGATTTGTCGAATAACCGGATCCAGTTCGTTGAGGATCTTGCTCCTCTTGCTCAGTTGAAGCTGGTTTCGCTTGATCTGTATGAGTGTCCTGTGACGAGGGTTAAGGATTATCGATCCAGGGTTTTTGCTTTGATCAAAACTTTGAAGTATTTAGATAAGACGGATGCGGAAGGGAACGAGAGGCCTGAATCTGATGATGAGGATGATGAGGAAGATGAGGAGGAGGAGGAAGAAGAAGAGGAAGGTGATGAGGAGGATCCTGGAAGCGGGGAGGTTGATGGAGACGAGAGAACAGAGGGTCCTTGGATGAGTAATGGGCACAGTGAGAGGGTAGATGGAGTTGTTGATGTGGATGAGGATGAAGAGAGTGATGCAGAGGATGATGAGTCAGAGCAGGCGGCTGGAGTTAACGGGACGAGTTACAGGCCTAATGGGTTTCGTCTTCAAGCTGTAAATGGAGAGGAAGGGGAAGATAATGGTGACGATAGTGAGTCTGGGGAAGAGATTGATGAGGAGGAAGTAGGGGAAGACAATGATGCGGTTGAGGTGAATGAAATTGAAGATAGTGATAACGAGGAAGATGGGGTTGATGATGAAGAAGATGAAGAAGAGGACGATGATGAAGAGGAAGTGGATCACGATGATCGTGGTCTTGGTGGGTCAGGGAGTACAGGACGGTAGATGAATGCAGGAGAGATTGATGGGCACGAGCAAGGGGATGATGCTGAGGATAACGATGGTGAGACTGGGGAGGACGACCAAGGGGTTGAGGATGATGGGGATTTCGGGGATGACGATGATGGTGAAGACGAGGTGAGATACTTGGTACTTGCAAATATTTGCAATGTTTTGATATGTGAATTCTATTGCGTTTCACTGATTCTTGCTTTTTGTGCTCCTTGTTTCTTTACTAGTACCTAGTTTCTGTAGCTATATTCTTGACAGGCTTACCACTTTAGCTCGAAAGGTCTTATGCCTAAGTCCAGTATGTTGCCGGTATTCAGATATAGATGTTAGAAGTTTGATGATTGATAGTGGACGATTAAGTTAGGACTTGAGTATGTTGTTGGTGCTCTATTTTTCTTGCAGTGTTGAGAATATCATTTCGGTCTTGTATTGTTTTGTTTGCACCTTAAAGTATCAGGTCGATTTCTTCTTGTTGTTAAAGACATTTAAAGCCAAAGTTGACCGGTTTTGTAGCTGGAATGGTCCATGTGTGAAGTTTTTTCGTTTGTTAATAGATGATGTAGAATGAACTGATCTCTTTTGTGTTTATGGCTAACCTAGAATTTGATGATTTTGATAGGATGAAGAATCTGGTGAAGGATACCTTGTTCAGCCAGTGTCACAAGTGGAAGATCATGATGCTGTGGGTAGTGACATCGAGCCCATCAACGAAGACAACGATCCGGATGAAGAAGAAGAAGTTGAAGATGACCTGCCAATCCCTGACCACTCCCTGCCATCATCATCATCATCTCGTCCAAAGAGAAAACGTGATGACAAAGATGATGGCGAAGATGATGATGATGACGATGATGATGATGGTGACGACGACGGCGTTGATGATGAGGAAGGTTGAACATACACACATTATCTTGTTTGATGAGTTTTGGATGCAAAAGAAGCTCTGCGCCTTGTGGATTAGGACGGCTATATCTGAATGTTCAAATGTCAGTTATGGTCTTGGCTGGTGGATTTTCAAATGACGGTTACACAACTTGGATTTACCCGCCTTTTTAGAAACCCACTTTATGGAGGGAAAGAAAAACCAAAAAAACAAAAAAACAAAGACAGCAAAGGATAGTTTCGAGACCTTGTTTCTCTGTTAGAGGGTCTTGTAAGATGCTTATATGTGGATAAATCTTTTGAGTTATAATCGTCTTCTGTTTCACATCCCTTTACACTTACACATGTCGTATCATGATTGGTCTGGATGGTTTGTTTAGGATTGTTGTGTGATGCATTTTGATCAAACGGTCGTCAAGGCTTCTTAAAAGCTTAGGCAGGAGTGTTTGTTATTTCCACACCATACCAAGATTATGTGGTAACTGGTGAGAGAGTTCAAAATTCAATCTTTCTCTCACTCTACACTTTTCTTTTCTCTCTCTCTCAAAATGCTTCTACTATCTCCGATCTCCACCTCTCTGCCACCGTCGTTTCACCGGGGAAAATTGAGCCGGCGATCGATTAAGCCGTCATGTAGGGTCGTAGCAAAGGCCAAGGACAATACCGAAACTGGCGGAGTTCTTGAGAAGGCGGCTATAGCCGGAGGTTTGGTGTCGACGCCAGTTATTGGATGGTCCCTCTACACTCTGAAGACCACGGGATGTGGTTTACCTCCAGGACCGGCTGGTTCGATTGGAGCGTTGGAAGGTGTGAGCTACTTGGTGGTGTTGGGCATCGTCGGCTGGTCTCTGTACACCAAGACGAAAACCGGGTCGGGTCTACCTAATGGGCCGTTTGGGTTGTTGGGTGCGGTCGAGGGCTTGTCGTACCTGTCGGTTCTAGCCATTCTTGTGGTGTTCGGTCTTCAGTTTTTGGATAATGGGTCGGTTCCTGGTCCGCTTCCTAGTGACCAGTGTTTTGGTTAACCAATTTCTTTTGCGTCGTCTGTCACGTGTAATGTCGTACACCTAACGTGTCAATTAATGATTTGCTTTCATTGACCACATTTGCATTTTGAGCAGAGATTAATAATTTTCTAGAAAAATCTCAGAAATTACATAAAATTCAAGAAGAATATTTGATAATCTGTATTCCAAATAGCAAATGTTCTATAAAGCTTGCATAAGTGATCGGTTAAGAGAAAACTGTGCAATTGAGATTACAACTGTAAACCGAACCAAATCGTTCTCACTATTAAACAAGGATCATGTAATGGTGAAGAGAAAGGGAAAAAGACCGATTAGTCTCTCAACACTATAATCTGGTACCAATAAATACCCAAATAATTTTGACAAGTTAATCAGTACCTCAACATGTTAAAAGTGGTAAATACATACTTTAACAATATTTTCATGGCCAATTAGTGCATTGACTTTCTTTCTGTTAGTCAAATCCGTTACTTAGCAAACGCAATCCAAGTCGGATGCCACGGTGGATAGAACCCAAAAACGACGTCGTTTTAGTTTAAGAATCTGAGAAAAAAATATGGCAAAACGACGTGTTTTAAAATATTAAACAGTTTTAAAAAAAAGTAAACAACTATGTCTTCTTCTTCTCTCTTCTTCGTCGATTAAAAACATGGATGAGCCATAGTTAGGGTTTTGCGGTGGAGTTCAAAATCAAATCAGAATCCCTTCATCGTCGAATTCGAACGCTTCTTCGGAGATTCCAGGTAGGTTTAGGTTTGCAATTTTGATTTTGATTTTATTCAAATACTTTCAGAAAATCAAATCAAGATTTTAATTTTGATTTCACAATTTGCAGGTTTTACTGCCAGTATGAGTCGAGGTGTACCTGTAGGACAGAAAGGTATGCCCAATGCTTGTAGGTGTGGAGAAAGTTCATTGATAAAAACTTCAGGAACTTCAAAAAATCCTGGAAGGCTCTTTCATTGTTGTCCAAAAGGTTCTGAAAATGTAAACAAAAGCCCAGATTAACTAAATTTTGTTCTTACAATGAATTCATGTAAATGTTGTATATTTTGCTAGGACAACTACCGTTTGTTTAAATGGACAGATGAATCTATGGTGGAAGAGTTGTTTTTCATGAAGGAGACAATGAAGAATTTAGAGATGAAGACAAGAACTTGTGAAGACATGGTCAATTGCATTGAGAAAGACATAAAAGACTTGAAGATGGTTGGTCGTGGGTATGAGAAGGAGATGGAGACAATGAAAGCTGAGGTACGTTTGTTGAAGTGTATGATTGTGTGTGGAGTTGTTGTGTTTGCTGGTTATTTTCGTTTTTGTGCTTAATTACGTCTATTCTTTCACTGTATTGTTGTAATTGTGACTGAATCTTGTTGGGGAGCTGTTGGAGATTTTTATCATGGATTTAAGGAATTTTAAATTGTTGTGTTGGTTTCTTATTCGAAAGAAGGAATTACAAAAACCAATTCCAACTGAAAATATTAAAAAAACTGAAAGCCATAATATAGTTCTTAATAAATTAATACCATTGTGACCATAACAAGGTTCAACGTGAATAACCAACATCGTTTTACATAGAAAACAGCTTAAGCCTAAAACAAAACAAAAAACATGGGTTTAGACTATCAATAACCCGAGACCAAGGAGATGAACACACAAAAAATTACTCTCCTCTCCTGCTGATTTAATCTTCACCTACAAAATTAGCAATTTTTTTATCATCACAAATTTGTATTCTCACGTCAACAAAAAAGAACAATCAGAAGATTAATACCTTATCACTGTCCTAAGTCTGAGATGGTTGAGTTTGAGAAGGACCTTCTCCACTACCGAGTGTCATAGTCTCCTGAACCTGTTCTGAAGTCTTGCTCTTTTTAGGCTTCTGAGGCTTTCTAGGCTTAAATGGGACTCCATCATTAGGACATTTGATAGAGTAATGTCCCGGCAAACCACACCGGTAACAATGCATTGTTCGCCCATGGTTGGTTAGCTTTTTCCCTTTAGTTGGCGACTCCGTAATCGACTTGAGCCTCTTCTCTGGTTTTCTTTTCCGACCCTTAACGATCTCTCTCGGAGGAGCTTCGATCAATGCTTCATCTTCTTCATATTTGCATCATAATCAGCTTCATTAAAACTCTCCACAACGTTCCAAAATAAACCTTTCATCCGAGGCTTCTTCGTATAAACCTTTCTCAAATTTCCGTAGATATGTCGGGCACACATTCAGTGTTCAATCTCTGGTAATTCTTCCTCTACGGCTAAGAGTCCCTAAATAACCATTGAACAAAATTTTTTTAAAAAGAATAGATCATCATTATATCAATATCAACGTATTTACATCATTGTTATGAAGGAAATCAATATTTTCAAATACCTTTTGCCTGTCGGATATAAGTGTGAATCCATTTCCAAGTCCAAGGTCCAAGTCTTTTTTCAAATGTCGAATAAACCATAACCAACTCTCGGTGTTCTCCACTTGGACGACCACCCATGCAAAAGGATAAATTTGATTGTTTGCGTCTCTGCCAACTGCTGCGAGAAGCTGACCTTTTGTGTTAGACTTCAAAAAACAACCATCTATCCCGAATATTGGTCGACAATGCTTCTTCCATGTATCACGAAGTCCGGCGAAACACATGTAAAAACTGTCAAAAACTTATTTCCCATTATCTCCCGCAACTGTCCGTAGCTCCACCGTCGAGTCTTTGTTTGTCCAGTATCAGCAAAGTAATTAGTATCAAAGCCAAAAAATTAAAGAAAACATGATGAAGTGCATTAAAACAGATGAATATTTACTCTAGGATTTGATCTCTGTAGTCTTTTATCCTTCGATATTGTTCATCATATTCTTCTTCAATTAATGTTAATGCTCTCTTCTTAGCTTTTCGACATTGATCATATGAAGGAGCTACGTTATACCGATCATGGATCTTGTCTTGCATCACTTTCGGTTTCAGTTGAGGATCATCTCTGATCTCATGGATGAACATGTCACTAATAACACTCTCAGTCAAGATCTTACACCTTCCATCTTTGTAACAAGTATGGTCCTCTTGAAATGTTATAACCATCCACTGAGAAACAGATTCTTCATATGAACAATAGATTCTCCAGTTGCATTCATCTATACCACACTTAGCTGTATACTTTTTAGCCGCCCATCTTGTGTACTGAATATTCCACCCGCCTTTTAAAGCATACTCCAACACAGCCTCTCTAAACTCTTCGACACTTTCAAAGACTTGTCCAACCTTTACCTCTCCACTTCCTCTTCTCCACCTATCATAACAAGTTTTCTCTGTCTTTTCTCCTTCATTATCTGATGTGGGAGGAGTTTGTTTTCCATAATCATCATTTTCCTCTTCGTCTACAAATGTGGCAACTACGGCTTCGACACGAGTTTCCTCATCACACAGAAATGCTTCATCTCTTCCATTGATACTATCTCTCTCTTCGTCTCTTCTGACCCCTCTTTCTTCCTCTCTTCTATCGCTTCTGACTTCCTCTATTTCTTCCTCTCTTTCTTCGTCTCTCTCTCCATTTCCATCATCTCCATTTCCTATCAAACCGAAATTTGATACTATCTCTTGATTTCCATCATCTCCATTTCCTTCACTATCTTCATCCGCCTCCATATATATATCGACAACATTAGTCCACTTCACCGCTAAACACATCTTCTGGAAATTTTCCACTCCATTACACAATATCTTAAGCTCATTCAATCCTTCGTATGGTAATTTATACCAGATTGTCTGCCCATACAGACTCAAACAATGAAGCCGCCGGTGTAAGAAGTTCCTGCACCGATCCACCGTCGTAGTAAACCGTGCCATTTTCATACTTCTCAAACTTTCCACCGTAAAAGATTTGGAACATGCAATCGTCACTGAAAAAAAGAATTAAAATTTGCTATCAGACATGAATAAACAATTCAGAAGCAATTAAACAAATGGAAAGCAATAAACAAATCAAAAGCAATTAGCAAAAGGTACTATCGATAAACTTTAATCCTAAACCCTAACAAATCAATAATCCATTTACCTCATTTCTTCTCGATAATTGAGACACCCACAAAGATCCGATTAAACCCAATCAACAACTCTGGCTCATGAGCAATTAACCTTTTCCACCAACCCTAGAAATCTCACTCAATCGATGGAAAAAACGAAGAAGAAGGTCACGACTTTGTTTGGTTTTTTTTAATTCTAATTTCTGTTCTAAATCTATACGACGACGTTTGCTTATTTTTCTAAAACTGTTTAATACTTTAAAACAGCGTCGTTTTGCCATATTTTTTTCTCAGATTCTTAAACTAAAACGACGTCATTTTTGGGTTCTATCCACCGTGGCATCCAACTTGGATTCCGTTTGCTAAGTAACGGATTTGACTAACAGAAAGAAAGTCAATGCATTAATTGGCCATAAAAACATTGTTAAGGTATGTATTTATCACTTTTAATATGTTGAGGTATTGATTAATCTGTCAAAATTGTTTAGGTATTTATTGGTACCAGATTATAGTGTTGAGGTAATAATCGGCTTTTTTCCCTGAAGAGAAATAACATGAAGTTCTAGCAAATCTTTTCTTATCTTCTTCTCTTTTTTGCGTTTCTTCGCTGTTGGTAACAGTTTCTTTAACCTTTACTTGTTCTAGTAAATAAGTGCCGGCTATATCAAATACGTTCGAACTTTGGTTATCTTTTGGGTTTCGATCCAATATCTTATTAACCGGAATCCGGTTTAAGATTCATCTTGGTTTTGTTAATTGTGATTGTCTCTGCGAATACAAATCTACTTCCTCCCGAAAAACCCTAGCTGAGCTCCGAGATCTCTTGTCGCCATGGAAGACCCCAATGATCCTTTCATGCGCAACCAGAACGCCGCCGTTCAGGCGCGCACTAAGGCTCATAACAGAGCTAATGTTCTTCAGCTTAAGATGGTTAGTCTCTTCTCTCGGATTCGCTTATTCTTGATAACTCTTCTTTATTTCCTCTCTCTCTATGTACATAGAATTTAGCTTCGTTCTCTATCGGTCTAGCTAATGAATCCTTTGTTCTACTTCGATATCAATTCGTTTGATGCTCGCTTCGATTCCATGTCCGATTGATTTATATCACTGAATTTAGTTCATAATTGCCTTTATAATTGAGATTTGGATTCTAGGGCATATGATTGTTCCTGTTTTGATCTTGAGCTAGTTCTTAGAATCTGGAACTACTCTGATTGTTAAAATTTGTTCAGAGAAGATTTCTTGTTGGTTTAAAAGTTATTACCATGTATCTTTGTATTTTGCAGATGGGTCAAAGCCACCCTACTGGCTTGACTAACAATCTCTTGAAGCTCTTTGAGCCACGACCGCCATTGGAGTACAAACCACCACCGGAGAAGAGAAAATGTCCACCTTATACAGGTCTTAAACTTGTAGATCTTAATTTGTTTTCAGCTTTGTCATCACAAAGCTTGATTTGATTTTTTCGTCGTGTATTCATTATAGGCATGGCTCAGTTTGTGAGTAAGTTCGCTGAGCCTGGGGATCCTGAATACGCTCCACCTAAGCCAGAAGTTGAAACACCTGTATGATGCACCTTAAAACTCTTTCGATTATGAGAGCTTTTTGCCCAAGTCTGTGTCTTATTTTTGTTTCACGGTTCAGGCACAGAAAAGGGAGAGAATTCAGAAATCACGACTGGAGAAAGGTGTTGAAAAGGCTGCAGAGGACTTAAAGAAATGTAATTCACTCTATATGTTATATATGCTCCTTTCATGACTTCTTACGGTTTGAATATTCCGAGCTGATTTTGAATTTCTATATGCAGATGACCCAAGTAATGATCCAAATGCTACTGGAGATCCATACAAGACACTATTCGTATCAAGACTTGTAAGTTGTGCTGTTTTGTGTTGAATGACTTTACTTAGACATGTGAGTTTTGTTGTGCTTGACTTTAGCCTGTTATCCTTTTGCAGAACTACGAATCCACCGAGAGTAAGATTAAAAGGGAGTTTGAATCTTATGGACCAATTAAACGGGTAGGTTATTCTGAACATTCCCTTGCGGGTTCGGTAAGAAGTTATGTAATGGCTTCCCCCTCTCAAGCTCTTTCACTTTGCTCAATATGTTTTATTTTATGTACAGAAGTCTTCCAGGTTATAAATTTTCAATTCCTTGAAAATGTTTGCACCTTTTCTATTAGACCAAAAAGTCGATCTACTTCTGAATTGCTATGTATCCCTTTTTAGACTGTGTAAAGCCATCTAGTCTCTTAGAGCTTCCTCAAATAATAAAATTAGAGATGCATAAAGTCAATCTTGTGTACTGTCGCAAACCTCTTCTATGATGTTCCGGAGCAACATCTGCTATGGCTGTTTTCAATTTATTTATCTCTCCAGGGGACAATTACTCTATCCTTTTTCTATGATATGGAGGTTGTAAGTTTTGATGGTTTCCTAATCAATGAGGTATTTAGTCAATCTGTCATGACCTCTACTCAACCTGGTAAGCCCGTTAGAAAGATTTTCTGCTTATATTCCCAAAGCCATTCTGTCCCAAAGAAAATGCTTCATAAGGAAGCAGAAATACCGAGTTGGGCAGTGATTATAAGCTCTTTATATCAAGCAACCAAGGTTACTGGTATTTTACACTTAACGTTTTCGGTAGTTTGGTAGTATCAGGAACCCTTCTCTCTTTGTATATTTAACATCTATAGAAATTCACTATCTGGATGTTGGGTTACTATGAAGAAGATTTGGTCCACATTTTATTAATTTTTAGTACTCTTAAGTTTGAAGAGGTTTCTATACCCTGGTAAGGGGTGGTTTATTAGAACCTTCAGAAATTGTAAATTTGCTGCAATGCATCCAATTTACTGCCAAATCTTGATGTGGGTGGTGACGTTCTCGGATTTGGAAGCTTATTAAAATAAAGGTTGCCTGCCTTATAGAGCTGCCTGTTTGTTTGAATATGAAACACTCTTTTTGTTTTCTGAAAAAGTAATCTTGTTCTTGCAGATTTTTGATTTGTTAATGTCTTGTTCTTCTTGCAGGTTCAATTGGTGACTGATCAGCTGACCAACAAACCAAGAGGATATGCTTTCATTGAGTACATGCACACCCGTGACATGAAAGGTCGGATTGAATATGTTTTCTCTCAATCCTTTTTTTTCTCTCTCCCTGAGATGTTTGCTCTTTCTTACTAAATGTGCATCGTGTGCTTTGTTGGTGTTCTTACAGCTGCATATAAACAAGCTGATGGACAAAAGATTGACGGTAGAAGAGTGTTGGTTGATGTTGAGAGAGGTAGAACCGTTCCAAACTGGCGTCCACGCAGGCTCGGCGGTGGACTTGGGACCTCAAGAGTCGGTGGTGGTGGTGGTGAAGAAACTGTTGGGGAACAACAACAGCAAGGTAGAACATCCCGGTCAACGGAGCCAACAAGACCACGGGAAGAGCGGTAATAATATTTTTATTTTATTTTCAGTCATCAATCTTCACTAAGCTCTTTTGGTTTTGACCAATTTTGTGCTGATTAATGTTGTGGCCTTGAATGTCCAGTGAGAAATCTCGGGAAAAGGGAAAAGAAAGGGAACGAGAAAGGTCTCGTGAGCTGTCCATTGAACAGCCTCGAGAGCGGTCTCATGACAGACCGAGAGAGGATAGAGAGAGAGAAAGCAGACGTGACCGAGGAGGCAGAGATAGGGATAGAGAAAGAGACAGCAGACGTGACCGTGAGCGGAACCGTGATAGAGGAGACAGAGACCGTCGCGACCGTGACAGGGGACGAGACCGTACTTCAAGGGATCATGACAGAGACCGCGATAGAAAGAGGGAGCGAGACTATGAAGGTGGTGAATATGAGCACGAAGGTGGTGGTGGTCGGTCCCGTGAAAGAGAGCCGGAGTATGAGCGGAGCGTGTCAAAGCACTATGACCGAGATAGACATGGCGAGCCAGAAGAGAGCCGTTACTACGAAGATGATCAGGGGGACACAGACCGGTATAGTCATCGCTACGATAAAATGGAGGAAGATGATTACAGATATGAGCGTGATTACAAGCGGTCTGAGAGATCAGAGTCACGTGAGTATGCTCGCTAATGCTTCCTTGGTGTGTTTGAAGTTTTTGTTTTTTTTTTTGGATCTTAAATTTTCTTCCAACAAAAAAAAGTGTTTCTGAAACTTCTGAATGCTGTTTTGTTATTCTATAAATTTTCTTTCGAAATTGTCACATAGCTGAGGAAACAAAAGAGTCCTAGCCCTCTCAACATGTGTTCAACCCTTTTCTCATGTATACATCCACCCACACGTTTACCCATTGTTTCGATTTTCAAATCAGTTTTAAACACGTTTTCAAAACCAATCACAAGATTAGCAAAAGATATTTAAAGATCAAATGAAATGCAGAGCATACATAACCAATCCAATTTTGTCTTTAGCATCAGTACATAAACTTTTAAACCAATTACATATTCACATCTAATCCCAAATCTAATTGTTTGTGAGTTTAGAATAAACCATAAAGAAAGAAAAGAAACTGATATGGTGATGTTAAATATTTGCTTTGAACTCTGAATTCTTCTGCTCCTTGATTCTCATTTTTGTCTCAGATGTTTACTAGGAAAAAACCCCTCAACAATTGCTCTATCCATTTTAAAATGATCAAATACAAACTTACTGAAAGAAACCCGCAACTCAACTGTCTAATTTGCGTTGATGAAACTAATACTCCAAATTATAGAACATTAAAACTCTAGAAGATATCCATATTAACAATAATGTAGCCTAGATATAAATGATACAAACTATGAGGTCTTCTTATTTCTGGTTTAGTTAGTCGAAAATGCCTCATAGATCTCCCCAAGCTTCTTGGACAACATCTTCCATACCTCATAGTTTGTATTTACTGATTCTATCAATCAACGAGAGACATCTACTCAGAAATATTTTCCAAGCTTCCCGGACAACATCTTCCATACCTTCCTTGCTGATAATTCTTTTATCAAAGAAAAACCTTCCTCTATTCGGATCATCGCTCTCTAATGCAAAACTTACCTTTAAAGGCCTATGATCGGAAATCCTCATATCCCAGTATTCCACTTGGGATCGAGGGAAAAGACAAAACCACTCGTAATTCCCAAAACATCTATCGAGACCACACTGAACCCAAATTCTGTCACGCCATCCAGCCGACGAGAAGGTATTACCAGAGTTTATATAGAGGCTTAACAAATATAATGCACAAATTATGCATATTTATCTTTGATCTTTATGTTATGGATGTGCTACTTTTTCTCCATACGCTAGAGATGGTAAAACTGCTTACCATATATGGATAAAATATGTTGTTTTCATATGCTCAATAATTTTGATTCAAGAGATGATAATTTTGTTTTATTTTCTCAAAAACATATGATAGATGATTGTCATAACTGATTTTGTAGGTATTAGTACATATTTACAAAGACACAATGAATTTTTTTTATTATTCTTATTAAGATTTAGTGAAATTCATTGAAATAATAAAAGAAAAAAAGCTTAAGAACCGAAGATGAATCCCCATCATCGAAATCACAACAAAGACACCTCAAAGATAAGGAAAGTTGTTCGGAGTAGTGCTTAAAGTTCTTCTTTGGATTCTCGAATCTCTACAAGTCACACTCATCGTCACATTATGGTTAAATGATCTACGCTGAAATTTACCTCAATAGAACTACATACACAATGAATAATCATAACAAACACTATTTTGAAGCAGAAAATGCTTTTGTTTAGCAAAATTGTATGTAAATCGAGGAATACATGTTTCTATATGAGGAAAAATGAGATATGTTAGGCCTAGATATTTGATATTATCACGAAAGGAAAACCTAAAGAGAATAGGAAATACGCTTGCGTAAAAATACGTCTATAATGTTAAGAAATAAACCAAATATCTCCCTAACATACATCACTTTCCTAATACTCTACCTTGCAAGATTTATTTCCACAACTGTCTTGTTGATCATCGGACTTCGAATTCCTCTTGTATTGTACTTTATGTCACTTGCTCAGATATCAACTCTTTCCCAGAGAGGTTTCTTTCCTTAAGGTAAGAAGATGTTATCTTTCTTTTTCTTATTACTTCTGATGTCAACAAGAAGAGTTTTGGAAAAAAAAAAAACACAACTATCATCGTCAATTACTTTTTGTTTTTCTTTTTATTTGTTGACGTTTTTTCCCATCGGTGTTCAATAGTGGCAAAGAACCAAAAATGTCTGTATAACAAAAGTTTCATAGACCAGAAGTTCATGTTAAACTAAATTTATATTTTTCCCATTAGGTTGTGTGATGTCATTTTCCACACTACACTTGAGTCCACCCCACTTTATCTTTTTCTTCGTTTTCGACCAGTGGCTCTGGATCTTTAAGATAATCCGCTCCAAGTCCACAAAAAACTTCTAACGAGTTTTGATATAAGGTTGTAATTATCTACTAATCTATTCTCTTTCACAGCAAGAGAAAAATATCTTGCCAAGCATCTGTTTTGCTGAGTGGTTACCTTTTCTTATGTGATGAGCTATACCAACACAACTCCGAAACTATAGATATCGCTTTAAACTGTGAATTGTCCGGTCTAGAAATATTATGAATAATGAAACCATGCATGTAACTCATTGTACCTGTCACTTTCGTCGTCAAGTGTGCATTCTCCACGGTTACGCATCTTAAAAACTCACATGTTCCTCTGTATTTCGCATGGACGAAATGTTATTTATTTATATATTTGGGTTCATTTAAAAAATAAAATATACACTGCGCGAGCTTGTTGATGATGAATGATATCCATATTTTTATAATGTTGAGTGCATATTATATGTGTTCTATGACATTCTTTAATTTTGGTGAAATGTGAAAATAATTATCAGTAAAAAAATGTGTATTTACAAAATGCCAAAATTAAGAGTTCAAAAGAAAATAAAAACAGTTTCGAAAACATATGGTGGTTTTTGTTTATTGTGTGTTTTTATTTTTTATATCGTTAATTTTTTTCACTGGATTTTGTTTATTGTAAGCTTTGTATGGTATTCATAAAATAAAATCATACGCATAGAAACAAATGTTCGATTATAACATAAATAGAAAAAATGGGTCTGGGTTGTCGCGAAACTTTATGCTACGTAGATTTGTTTTACAGTATACTTTGTGTTAAAGAAATTATATGGAAGTGTAGTAAAATTCATTTATCTGGAGAGTTTAGCTCGTTATTCGGATACTCGCTAACAAAAGAATCATAACAGTACGTTCACAGTTCACAGTTCACAAACAATATTATATGGCTCGCTTGTTTTCAAAGAGAATTGCTTTGATAAATTATCATTTCTCATTAAAAAAAAAGAGTCTCCGTTGCCGGGAATCGAACCCGGGTCTCCTGGATGAAAGCCAGATATCCTAACCGCTGGACGACAACGGATTTTGCATAATTTCCATAGTATTCATAAATATTTTGATGGTTAATAAAAGACTATTAAAATCCAAGGTCAAACAGTTCGTGCGTTTGAGTATAGTATATTTATATACAAACAACACGTCTCTTGTAACTTAGGTTGGGACACATGCTCTCAAGGGTTGTATTCGTGAAAGAATAAAATTAGATTACGATTACTAATAAAAATTAGATTAGTTCTTTCTACTTTTTGGGGTTGATAATCTTTTTGGCTTCGTATGATTTGTTTTCTTGATGTAGTTTGTGTCAGCCTTTTAAATAGTATTGTTTCAAAATAACCAGAAATAATTATAAGTGTTCTTCTTAATGTCAATGGTTTTTTTTTTTTTTTTTTTTTGAGAAAGGGTTAGTCAATGCCATTTTCAAAGATCTAGAGAACCGAATAATTTATGTATGTATAGGCTTTGTCTAATATCATTAATTGTAGACTATATAAAATATATGTACATATATATAGATGTTGGTTTACACGTCTTTCTTTTTCTGTTAGTAATATAGGGTAACGTTCGAAACAGTTCTAGTTTATGATAAAAGTAAATAGCAAACCGTGCAATTCGAATTTTTAATGACCCATTAACGTCCATACGAGCAATAACAATCGCAAACAAATCCCACCGAAACTAGCTTGATTCTAGGACATGCTTACCGAAGATAAAAGTAATATATATTAAAATATAAGATCAGTGGATAAAAACTAATTATGATAATAATCAATAAAATGAATCTGGAAAGGGACCAGAGCCGAAAGTAAAAGGGGAATACGCTATAATGTTAACCCCATGCGAAACCTAAGAGGGTCCAACAACTCAACACTCTTCTCTTCTATTCTTTCTCTCCTTTTTTTTCTTTTAGTTAAAATAACGTTTGTCAATTTTCAATGTATATTGTAAAGTCATTTTTTACTACAGTCAAATACAAAGCCATGATTTAAAAATGGCTTCTTTTCATAAACAATCTAGAATTTGTCTTACTATTGTTTGCCATTAACCATACACATAACATTTATTAGTTTTAAATTGGTTTACTTTTACGTAACATCATTTTGTTCATGTGGCTTTTATCTTAAGTTTAGCCTCCTCCTTTTCTATATGTTTTTATCTACATAATTATGTTTTGTTTATAAACAATAAGTAAATGGTTCATGTTGGGAAAAATTCACAAGAAAATCTATATTTATATGCAAATACCTTGTAGTAAAGTGTATATATTAGTTGCAAACAAATTATGCACTATGATGCACTTACTGTAGACCCGTGAAGAAAATTCTAGCTCAATACTTTTCTGAAATAGAGATTATACAGTTGGTTCCTTTCTATAAACGCCTATCGGCCTATAAGAAAAAATTTGAATGTAAACAAAAAAAAAAGAGACTTATCAGTTTACTTTAATTTTATTACTCATCAAGCATCCCATTCAAGCAAAGCCGTTCTAAAATAGAGAAAGGTAAAGACAAAAAGAATTGAAGGGAAAGAGTCAAAAATTGTGAGCAACTAGTTCCAAAAAGTGGTGGGACGGTATGATTCAAAGCATGAGAAATATGTATTACATAAACTTATAGATCGAGCATTGTAAATGATAGACATGGAGAAAAAAATGAATTGAAGGGAGAGAGAGAGAGAGAGATGTGTTGGTTGCGCTCGTGAGCAATGATTGAACTTAAATCATAACTTTTGCAGGTGGATGTGGGGAACCCCATGCACACCTCTTCTTCATATCTTCACCTAAATTTCCATTTTTTGTAAT